TTCACTAGGAACTTTGTGTACTCAGTAACTCAGTCTTTGGAATAAAAACACTCAATGATTTAAATGTGGGTTGAAATAGGTTGAACGTTTGGGGGAGAGGATGATGTTTGAAGCTCATGTGATGGCTGCTAATCAACCCACATTTAAGGGCAACTCACATAACAAAATTGGTATTCTGAGGAACCTTGTCATGGGGCAACTTGAGTCCATGACAAATGATGCCCTATAGAAGAACCTTTCAGGGGCACAAGTCTGAAAAAAGAAGAGTCTAAATCAATGTTTAGCATGGAAACGGCATTGGTCGCATTGGTGGATGATCTCTGGAGAGCTCCGGATAGGGGTTGTTCCTCTATCCTAGTCCTGTTAGATCTCTCAGCGGTATCAAAAAGCCGGTATCATGCTGTGCCGGTTGGGGTGGCTGGGGGTGGAGGGCACCGTTTTATGGTGGTTCTCCTCCTATCTCTCTGACCGGTCACTGTTGGTGTTGGCAGGGGGGCAGAGGTCGACCCCGAGGCACCTTGTTTTTGGGGTGCTGCTGGGGTCGGTCCTCTCACCCCTCCTGTTCAACATTTATGTGAAGCCGCTGGGCGAGATCATCTGTGGTTTTGGGGTGGAGTTCCATCAGTACGCTGATGATACTCAGCTGTACATCTCCACCCCAAGTCATCCCAATGATGCCCTTGAAGTGATGTCCCGGTGCCTAGAGGCCATGCAGGTCTGGATGGGGAGAAACAGGCTCTGACTCAACCCTTCCAAGACCGAGTGGCTGTGGCTTCCAGCGTCCCGATATAGCCAGATGGTGCCATCTCTGGCTATTGGGGGCAAGTTACTGCCCCCCACAGAGAGGGCTCACAACTTGGGCATCCTCCTGGATGCACAGCTGTCTTTAGAAGAGCATTTGATGGCCGTGGCCAGGGGGGCTTTTTATCAGGTTTGCCTGATTCACCAGTTGCGTCCCTTTCTGGATCGGGACTCCTTACGCATGGTCACTCAGGCACTCGTCACTTCCCGCCTGGACTATTGTAATGCTCTCTACATGGGGCTCCCCTTGAGGAGCACCCAGAGGCTCCAACTGGTGCAGAATGCTGCCGCGCGGGGGATTATGGGAGCGATGGGGCGCTCCCATGTGACACTCCTCCTGCGCGAGCTGCATTGGCTTCCGGTGGTCTTCCGCGTGCGCTTCAAGGTGTTGGTTACTACCTTTAAAGCGCTCCATGGCTTAGGACCGGGGTACTTATGGGACCGCCTTCTGCCACTGATAGACTCCCACCGGCCAGTACGCTCCCTCAGAGAGGGACTCCTCAGGGTGCCGTCGGCCAGACAATGTCGGCTGGCGACCCCCAGGGGGAGGGCCTTCTCTGTGGCAGCACTTGCCCTCTGGAACGACCTGCCCCTGGAGATATGTAGGATACCAGATCTCCGTGCTTTTCGCCGTGCCCTTAAAACTTTTTTATTTCATCAAGCTGGGCTGGCGTAATCCCCCCTTAGATATTTTTAGATATTTTTAACTGTAAATTGATTTTAGTTGGGGTGTTTTAAATTTATTGGGCCAAAATTTGTTTAATTCTTTTAAAAATTTTAAATTCTGTATGTGATGTTTTTATTCTTGGCTGTTCACCGCCCTGAGTCCAGCAGAAGGACAGTATAAAAACTTAATAAAATAAATAAATAAATAAATGTTTGTCGAACACAGCAATTTTAAGCTTGCTGGCTGAATAATTCTGGGTGTTGAAGTCCATTACAGCTTAAAGTAGCCAAGTTTGAAAAACATTGATCTAAATTAGCTCCTGAACCCGCAAAGGGGCTGGGTTCACATACCACATCTCATAAAATCAGCTAATGATCTAAGAAATATAGTGTACAACACTGCAAACCGAGACAAGGATAACTTTGACTAATTTTTAATAATAATATTATTATTTTAATAATAATAATGTGTTGGGTGAACACTTGTTGTGCCTTAGTGTCTGGCAAGCTAATGTTTTGATATATTACAAAAATCTAGAAAATGAGTAAATTCTACAAGGCTAAGAATGTTATTTGAATATGGTTTTCATAATGAATATTATTCTAAAGCTATAGAAATAAATGTGGTATATATAAGGATTGGGTCAAGATGCCCAGAGCAGAGACAATCATGTACAGAATCATACAATAGAAAATCAAATTAATACTTTGCAGTGGTTGACTCTTCCGTTTCAGAATATTACAGATTCTTATTCCATCCCTGTACTCTCAAACAATATGGAACAAGTCAACCTTCTATGACATTCCTTCGGATACTTGAAAAGGGCACATCCCCGGCCATTTTTTCTTCAAGAAAAAGCATAATCCATTTTCCTCAGACTTAATTTCCAGTTACCTGATCATCCTAGATAACTGCACCAGTTGGTTTCTCTGAATCTTTCTTAAAATGTGGTTTTCAAAACTGGACACAGTGCTCTGATCAATGCAGATTAAAGTAGAATATTATTCTAAATAAATAAATAAATGCTTTATTCTAAAGTAGAATAAAAAAAGAGCCTTGATGGCGCAGCAGATTAAAGCATTGTTAAGTAACACCAGCTGCCTGCAACTACTGCAAGTTCAAATCTCACCAGGCTCAAGGTTGACTCAGCCTTCCATCCTTTCGAGATAGGTAAAATGAGGACCCGGTTTGTAGGGGCAATAAGCTGACTTTGTGTAAAAAAGAACACTGCTTTTGGGGGGGGGGCAAAAGCCCTACTAAGCAGGTATATACAAAAGTATGAAGGCTATTGCTTAAGGCATTGTAAGCCGCCCTGAGTCTCTGGAAAAGGGCGGCATATAAATCGAACCAACCAATCAATCAATCAGTCATAATCTCCCCTGGTTTAGAAAGTCAGCTATGCTTCTACTGACCAAGCTAAAGTTGCATGATGAAGCATTTCACATGCATTAATATCAGCCAGGTATCACACATATTATATCTGTGCAACTCCACTTTTTTCTAAGTAAGGTACTTTACATTTGCCTCTGTTAAAGTTCTTTTACTTTCAGCCTGTTTAATCTGTTAAAATAATCTTCAATTTTGTGCTTCTAGAATACAGTATTAGTCATCCCATCAGTTTTCTGTCACCTGCCAATCTGATCATCATTTCCTCCACCTCTTCATTAATTGACCCTGTTAAGGCAAAAGCAGCTCTTTCCCTTCTGCTTTGTCTACCCTCTGAAGGAGAGAGCAGTTACCAAACCAGGACAGGAATTCCTCAGAGAAACCAAGTTTGGCAAACTTGTGTCCAATTATTGGGGGGGAAGGGGGGAAGGTTGGGGTAATTAAGGTTCTTATTACAACTACTTTGCTCCTCTTTGAAATATTTTATTCATTTATTTATTGTAACCCAGATTCTTCCAACAGCATCATATGGACGTTTTTAAGCATAGTGTAGAGCTCTTTTCCCTATTGCTTCTGTTTGGGCGCAAACTGCATCCTTCAGTTGTTCTGTTGCAATTAGGAAAATCATCCCACTTGGTCTGTTATACCTATGAAATAGTATTTGCCTTCGTACACTAAGAGTTTGAGGTCATTCTCTTTATTTTCCTGATTGGGAGCCACCTAGAATTCAGTATAAGATGGGTAGCTATATAAATGCTTTAAATAAATATATACATACATGAATATTTTGAATGTACACTATGAAGATCACTGCACTTCAAAATAATAGTGGACAGGTCCTAGCCTTCTTTTGCATTAGAGTATAACCTTAATACTTGAAAATGCCATCATAATCCACCCAATCACTTTTTTCAAGATATCCATTTAAAGAGTCAACAGTTTTTTGAAGTTTTCACTGAGTGGTTTAAAAGGCCCTAGTTATTGGCTGGTCATTTCTTTAGATTAATACTCTGACTTTTCCTCCAAGAGGAGTGTTCGTATCACCTTCTCCTCAAATTTTTCTCTCAGGAAAATATAACAAAATAATTCCCCTGGAGTGTTTGCATTCACTCTTCCTAGCTTTCTCTTTGTACAGGGAGAAATAGCATTTTTCCAAACATCAGGCACAGTTGCAGCCTTCACACTCATTAAACAAACCATACAGCCACTCCTTACACCAATCATTTAACATTTGTCTAATTATACAATCTACAACTGTAGCCCAACCACTTTTCAAAATTCTCTGTTTTTGATATTTTCTTTTCATCATTTGTATAATAGCTGCCAGCACCTGGAGATAAAAGTCATTATCCTGGATTGCATCTAGCTTGATCAGTTATGTGAGTTAGAAGAGCAGTGGGTTCTATGCTGGAGAATGGTTAAAATATGAAGAATAAAATAGCACATCTTCATCCCTTTAGACAATTTATGATCTTGATACTGAATTGCCATCAATATTAGATGATTTAGTTCCATGTAGCCTGCTTATGACATATGTAATTTGCTTTGCTTCATATACATTTACTGCTTTTTAAGGAAAAAACTGAGTGCTTTTTCTTCATGCTGTATTAATTTGCAATTTATATATCAGCTGGGTTTTTGCCTAAAACAATAACCAAAAATAATAGCACTTCATGAATTGTATACATTGGAAGTTAGCAATTAACAAAACAATCCTAAATATAAATCCGGCTTATTGGAGATCTGGTTGTTATGTAGTTAACAACCCATTGTGTCCAAAGTAACATCTGTGTACCTACTGCAGCCAAAGTGAGTGAAAGTGGATGGCTTTTGAGGGAGGGGAAGTCCCCACTCCCATCATTAAACCATTGGCATAGTTTGTGAACCTGATCCAGGAAACCTGGAGGTTACACCCCATTCCTGATGCAAATATGCAATGATCCATCTAGGCCCTCTTCTCTACCCAAATGTTTGGCTGAAAGTAATCCCTGGGGAAGATATATTCCCAAACAGCTTCATGCAGGAATATCATTGGCTGCTGGGGCACTCTAGCTGAGACACTTTTGCACTTTATCTGCCACAGCTGGCTTCTCTCTGCAAGCCTCAATGTAGGCAATGGTTTTAGAAGAAAACTGGCGATTGTACAAACAATTCAGCAAGGTTTTTATTAACATATTAACAATGAAGACAAGTGAATTAAAATACCATTGCAAAATTAAAATACCATTGTGTGTGTTCAGGTGAGTCTGTGTCCAAAGGGTGGGGAAAGGGAAAAAGGAACAAAATCACTTAATTGGTTGTACTCCATATACACATGATGCATACTATAAATTAATTTACATTGAGCTGGGTGTGTCTGAATAATAGCAATTCCCATTGCAGGTAGAGGCTCCCATAATCATATGCAGCAAGGTAGGCAATCACAAGAAAATTTCTAGCTTAGTCTTGATGACAGCCTATTGTTAATGAGGTATTACAAAATTAGACTGGGATGTTTCTCTATGACTTTTACTTTGCTAGATTAAGTGAATGTCTACAAGGAAGATATATATGAGCTGGATCTTGCAGCCTGCAGCGGCAAGCCAGAAAACCACTATACTGAAGTCACCACCATTTTCTGATTGAAGTGAGGAATCATGATTGTATAATAAAATACAAATGCTTTGGTAAGCAAAGCATAGCCTTATAGCTTAATAGCATGCTGTCAGCATAAAAAACGATCATCCCTAAAAACACGTTTATTCCCAGAAATATATTTTCTTGTAACATTATCTCCTAAAGGATCATTTTAAGAAATTTAGATAATGTGCCAAAGTTGTTGATCGTGGGCAGCAATTCTTTTCTCATCATAGTTGACTCATTTGTCTTTTTATAACTGCTGAGATCCTTCTCCTGGATTCATCTAGAGATGTTCTCCTTTGAGGTGACTGCAATGTAGGTATAGCAGGCAAGCTAACACTGAAGCTGTTTTGGTTCCTACCACAGACTACTGCTTTAGTGGTCCTTGAAATCTCAGATGTGATCCCTTTTGAAGCCTTTGGGCGCCTTTGACTGTTGATCAAAGTGGAGGAGGAAGTTGAACTGCCCTGACCGAGGGAACACTGTGTCAAGGGAAAGTTTCCACCAAGTTTTTTTAGTTCCATGACTTGTTCTTTAGCTTGAACCAAAGCCTCAGTAAGCTCATAGCGTTCCTCACACTCCCTGCGTACAGTGTCCTGGAGAAGGGCATTCTATGAGAATAAAGAAAGATATATTTCATAAAACATTATTGAGATGACAACAAAAGATATATAAATATTGGGTGTTTCTTAGCATCTCAAAACATAGTGTGCTCAGAACAGTGTGTGCAGACAACACATTGTGTACTGAAATGCTCACAGCCATACCACAGATAACCAGCATATCTATGTGACAATTATTCTTATTAGCTACTGTGTTTTCCATCATGGGTATGGTAAAAAAATATTTTGCCCGACATCTAAAGTGTTACTATATTTTAGATATACTAAGCAGCTTTAAAAGTATAGTTAGAATACCATCGCTTTATGTCACATCAGAAATCAATTTGCAATTTGGAAGTGCTCATCCACCCAGTTCTTTAGATATGAAGATAAAATGCTCTATTCACAATTACAATGACATAAGAATCACACCAAAGCACGTATAAACATTATCTTTATGTTTACAGAGCTCATTAAAACAAACTAGTTGAATAAGACACTTCCAGTTCAATAAGCCACTTGGCATTCTTCTTTAAATGAACAATGTGCAGCATGAAGGAATAATTATTTTTTCTTGAAAAAGGATTCATTTCATTGGATGATCTAAGTTTGGTCTCTTTTTCTATGTTTCTATTCCAATCTCTTAAAACTGCACTGCTTTTTTAATTTCATAAACATACCTACAATTTGTCTCTCAAATTGCCTGTTTTATTTTCAACAGTTTTCCTCAACAAAGTATCTCAAAGATAGCTTTTCCAAACTGATTCTTGCCAGATTGCTGGAATTCCATTCTCAATTCCATGTCATCTGGAAATTATTGCAGTAAAAGTCTAATAATGTATATAGAAGGCACATTGGATTAAGTGAAAAAAGCAAAATTGTTATAGGAAAGTATTCATAATTTCATTCACAAAATATTTCTCTTGCACTCATGGTGCAAAACTCAACAGAAAACATACTTTGCTTTATCTCACTAAAACGACACCTTGCTTTTCCATGATGGACAATGGCTTCAATGATTAGCTAACTATGAAAGTACTTCAGAGGTTGAATTAATTTAGGAATAGTCACTTTGTTTCCTGGGAAACAAAGTGGCCTGAAATGTCTTTAGCACTGTGCTTGCTTCAAGTCTTAGAACAGAAAATTGGAAAGATAAATCAAGGCATCCTCATGGTAGCAAGCCTTCAGGGCAGAAGCCTAGTCCAAATTTGAATATCCCCACTAAAACTATAAATCTGCCACTGAAATATTAATCATTTTAATTAAAAGTCCAAATTTATCTATGCACATTATTACTGAAGAACTGTAAAGAAGTTAAATGTTTTTTGCATTTCAGAATGATTAAAAAAACTTACCAAGGGCAATTGTGAAGGCTCAAAAATAATGTGAACCTAATTTGACTAATGATTAATCCAAAAGAAACCTTATTAAGTAAGACATGACATCATTTCTCTTTTTTTAATGAAAGTAAAGGAAGTCATATCCAATGTAAAGGGGTATGTTGCATAGAGGCAGGGGTGAAATGCTCCCGGTTCAGACCGGATCGCCTGATCCGGTAGCAGGTGGTTCGGAGAACCAGTAGCAAAACTCCCTGCCCCCTCCCCCAATGCCCAGCTGAGCCATGCAATCATCAGAGGCTTTTTTTAATTTTTAAAAGCATTTTTTCTACAACCTCTTCAGTCGAAAAATGCTTTTAAAAGTTAAAAAAAAAAAGCCTCTGATGGTCGCGCAGCTCCATCTCTTTGGCGGAAGAGGTTGTAGAAAAAAATGGTTTTAAGAGTAAAAAAAAAAAGTTGGCCATGCCCACTCAATTACATTACCCCCCACTAAGCCATGCCCACAGAACTGGTAGTAATAAATTTTACATTTCACCACTGCATAGAAGTTATATAAATTGACTATAAGTAGTCAATATAAAGACTACAATAATGAATGTATCATTGACAGATAAAAATTGAACTACATCTAGTGACAGAAAAAAAAAGAATGTCCATATTTCAACCGTTTCTATTCATCTATATGCACAGCTTACTGTCATATAAGACAGCTTACTGTCTTATTATAAGATATAATAAGGCATGATTTTTATGACAAACGCATCTATTTTAAGATACAATTCAATGACTTAGGAAAGAATATTCTAGAGGCAGATAACTAATTAGATGTTTCTTTCCCGACACAGAGGAATACCGGTATATCATGAGAAGTCTAGAATTAGATTTATTTCCCTCTTTCCTTCCACCCCCCAAAAAATGCCTGAGGGCCTAGCCAGAGTTGGGTGATTATAGTATAACTTCCAATGCACCAAAAATTTAGACCAAATTTCCAGATATTCTGAATGTATTTCCTTCTACTGAAAGAAATTCAACATAACAGTTAAAAAACAAATCAACAAAGCCAGGAGACTGTTCTCATTCTGTCCTGTCCAATTTTCAGACAGCAATGTTCTAGAAATATGTTATAGCTCCGAGGTTGGAGTTTTGCTGTTGAAGAACAGGATTGTTTTGTCCACTACAGAATTTTCAATGAAGATGCAACTACTAAGAATTTTTTTAATGGATAAAAATAATGCAAACAAATATAGGAACAAATACGTGTGTTAATTTTTAATAATTTTAACCACCCAAATGCAAATCCTCCTTGCACTTTTTCCCATAAAAAAATAGGTTTCATTTCCTCTTTTACATCTTTAAAAAAATTATATTCTTATATTTTTTTACTTTTCTTGATTTTTTTTCTCTTTAAGCTCTTTCAACTTGATTTGTAAAATGCCTTTTGGCTAAATGTACTATTATTCCATTGCAGCTTTCTATTTTTCCTTTTGTCTTCATGTTCACTACAGATTAATTTATGTAACAAATTCTGTATGTTGCTTTGGAAATTTTAAATACTTTAAAATTTATTCTAAATTAATATGATCAGAAAGGTATTTTTCACAGCATTCTATTTGCACTGGGTATAAGGGTCCAACTACTGAAAAAATAATAGATATTTTATTATATTACATAAACAACTTGACAGAAGTGGCATTGTGTGTGCTCTGCCTATTCCTAACTTTATATTCAAATCAGTTGCCTGTCTGTATGAAATATGTGGCACATAAGATTCTCCTTCCCAGCAGAATTCCCATTTATGGAGAAGAGAATAGGGAGAAAATCCTACATATACAGTACAGTATATATTTACAGAAAATGGTTTCTATGCAGAGAAATTAATTTGTTTATCAAGATTCTCTCTTCCAGGCCTTGATGAGAATAGCTTGCTTTAGACTTAATAATCTTAGATATAGAATATGGTTTATTTAGCAGGCACTAAAAACCATAGTTTGATATCCTTGTTCGTAATAGGAAAGAGAGAACAACTGAAATGGTATTTGGATTTATATTTTCGTTCTTTGTCCAAATATCCACCATTTGTTAGGTTAGGATTTTTGTATCTCAAACAAACCAAAATATAAAAATGGGTAACACATAATGAACCAGGTCTGACCTTTGGCTGAGTTCATACCTCCTCTTGAACTTGATTCATTGTCTGAATCAATTGTTTTTGTTCCTCGGTTAATTTTTCCAGTTCACGGATCTTCTTTTTTATTTCTTCTTTCATGTCTTCTGTCACTGAATTATGAATGCTCCGTTCTTCCTTCAGCTGGAACTCAAGCTCAGTTATTTGTCTTCTGAGGCTTTGCCATTCTTTTTCCCTCTTGTGATCTTTCTCATTAACCTTCCTCTCCGCTTCATGGAGTTTCTTTTCAAGTGTCTCCATTTCAACCTTCAGTTTATTAGTAGCATTACATATCAGTAGAGGTATCTGAAAACAAATTGGACATTCAATTCTTGTCAAATAATTTTGGCAAACATACATTGGTTAAGTAGATTTAAATAGGTTTAAATGATTTTGGAAAAAGAAAAATAAGGAAACATTACTCCATTCCATGTAAGACTTATAAAGAGCTTGTACTTAACATGAAATGAATATTAAAAAGTACTCCATAGTAGTGGAATTCTTAGAGGATATAAGATTTGGGAGTTATTAAAAATGTTAAATATGAATACATAAATGAAATAAATATAGTAAAGCTCTGTTTTCAAATGGGTAAGTCTTCTTACAACACACAAAGAGAAGAACTTGCTTTTATAAATAAGTATCATGGACAACTCTTAAAGGACTAAAGCAAAACTTGACCCATGTTGGGATTTTTTTAGTATGGAATAAATATAACTGTTACTTCTGTTTGATGGTTTGTAGGTTCTTAGTCCTACAAAAGATCTCTGAAGGACTCAAGAAATACCAGTAAGGAAAACTCTTTGTAATGTACTAAATATCTAAAAAGAAATGGGACAACTTTGTGACCTTTTGTCAGATGATCTAAAAAGTGACATTAAATTATTCTTGAGGCTATGAATTAAAAAACAGCTTATTTTTAGTTGCTTAAACCTTTGTATGTAGAAGCTCGTCCTGATCTTTCTGGTATTTTGCAATTAATTCCTGATGCTTTTGTTTCTCAATATCTAGTTCCATTCTGGCTTCGTCTTTGAGTCTAACAATCTCTTCTTTGTGACTGGTGTGTTCTTTCACTTTATCAGTTTCAACCTAGAAAGCAAACATTTGGAGATCAGTTAAGACTCTGTTCAATTTACATACCCCCAATGTTCAACGGACATAGTGTACAATGTAACTTGTGAAAATAACGGGACTTAAGTTGGTCAAGACATGCAGACTGTAGATCCTTATATCTACAATTTGGATGAAAATGTACAAATTACGCAAAAGTATACAGTATTTGATACTAATTACTTTGGAATACAAACCATAATAAGAGTACAGAACAATATAATATTCATAAAAGCTTTAGAAAAAGAGGATTACCATCAAAAGTGTTTCATTTCTAAAGCATGAAACTCTAATCAATTATATGTTATGTTCAATAAAGGAGAATATTTGTAGCTTAGGGTTGAAATAAGTTCCTTGGTGCTCTCTGGGCTTAGTTGTTTTCTTGCAGACATTTCATTACCAAACTAGGTAACATCATCAGTGTTAGTCAATAGCAGTGTCATAGTCACTGGCACTGATGTTGTTGCCTAGTTTGAGTAATAAAATGTCTGCAAAAAAATAACCAAGCTCAGCAAACATGAAGGACCCCTCAAATAAGGTTGAGGTCCAAATGCAACCAGATAGTTCAAAGTAAATGCATTATATCCAGAATCTAAAATTATATAACAAACCTACTGGTTTTCATTGTGCATGTTCTTCTATCATGTTCCCTACTGTAAAAAATTCTAAAATGTGATGTGATTCCTGAAATGGAAGCCTAGATGAAACAATCAACTTTATTGCTTTGAGTACTTTATTGCACTTTTCCAATGTATTTTAAAGATGAATTTCTTCAGCCAACATAAAATAATGATTTCATTATTTGAGCTTTCAAACAAAGTGTCACACTTTGGGATTTTTAAATCTCTGTATGAATCTCCGAACAGTTTAAAGACAGTAAAGACATTATAACAAATAATATTGTACAATATATGTGTTTATTAATCATTTGCTTATCTTTTTTTCTAAATTTATAGTCCTCACTACACTAGTTACAATTTTGTGAAAAACCTGTAATAAAATGATAAAAGTAAATGTAAGTACAGCTAAACCATATAACAATTATATTTAAATAATAACTGTCAATAAATATATAACCTGCATTGCAAAATTATATGGTTCAATGTACAATTCTGTCAGACAGATGTACACATGCACACACAAACCCCTATATAGAAAGAAAGATATAAATGCTGTCTATCTAAACACCCCTAAAACACAACGTTACTGTTCTACAGTACGGCAATATTTACTAATTCATAAGGATAAGGGTTTTTAATGATAGTTGACATGTGAGTTCCTATCCAATAGAAAGAAGTCAAGTGATGCTCCAATTGCGTTAAATGCCTCCTCCAGTTGTTTATCTCTCATTATTTTAGAAAATTAGAATATTTTTCTTTCATAAGAGAAATAACTGCAAACTTGAATACTGTAGCTCTAAATATTCAGAAAGAGCTCTAAAATATTATGGAAATTAATTATTCCAACTCTGAATAGCTTCTAGTCATGATGGCTATACAGCAGAGGTGGGTTTCAGCATGTTCTGACCAGTTCTGGAGAAACGGTGGTGGAAATTTCGAGTAGTTCTGAGAACCGGTAAATACCACCTCTGACTGGCTTTGCCCCCATCTATTCTCTGCCTCCCGAGTCCCAGCTGATCGGAGGAAATGGGGATTTTACAGTATCCTTCCCACCAAGCCATGCCATGCCTACCAAGCCACACCCACAGAACCAGTAGTAAAAAATTTTGAAAACCACCACTGCTATACAGCTATTAGAGCCGTGGTGGCCCAGTGGTTAGAATGCAGTACTGCAGGCTACATCTGCTGACTGCCAGCTGCCTGCAATTTGGCAGTTCGAATCTCACCAGGCTCAAGATTGATTCAGCCTTCCATCCTTCGAGGTCGGTAAAATGAGGACCCAGGTTGTTGGGGCTGTGAAGCAGTATATAAGTCTAAATGCTATTGCTATTACCCTGTTTCCCCCAAAATGAGACATTCCCTGATAATAAGCCCAATCGGGTTTTTGAGCGCATGGCAATAAGGCCAAGCACTTATTTCAGGGTTCAAAAAAATATAAGACAGGATCTTATTTTCAGGGAAACATGGTAAATACATACAGTATTTCTTAATAATTGCTGATGGATAGTTGTTAAGTCTTTATCCCATAAGCATTCAGAACCATGGTAAGAAAATGCTACTTTAGGTATCACAATCCATCATAGATGTTAAGTTCTTTTGTAAATACAGTCAGATCACGTTCAATAGTACTAGTCATCCAGTAGTGGGTTTCAAATCCTGTCGCTACCAGTTTGCTCATGGGCACATGTGTGACGCTTCTGTGCATGCACAGAAGTGTCTGGGTGGGTGGGCGGAGCCTCCCGCCGCCACCTCCGGTTCGCCCAATCCGGGGCAAACAGGTAACAACCCACCACTGTAGTCATTTCCTCAGGATGAGGACAGAGGGTTCAGCTAGAACATAATCTCAGTGACTAGATCTGACCTTATAACTTGGGAAATTGGCATCTATTTAATGACACATTTCTTTCTGCTGCATGTTTTTCTACCCTGGCCTCATTTTTAAGTACCTTAATCATCAATCATGACATGTGGCAAAAGTGTTTATTAAGCCTTGAGCACATAGATCATAAAGGTCCTAAAGTACTCTCAAAACACTGTCAGCAGTACTGACATAAGTGGAAGCGGATCTCAGAATGAAAATATTTCCTATTTAACTAACACACAAAATCCATCCACTTAATAGCCATAATAATGAGCATTCTGAAAAATGTTTTTCAATTATCTTGTCCATGTTGCCTAGCAATTTCTTTCTTCTTTTTTAACGTAGTGTGTTTATAATCCAGGGCATTAAATGCCTAAACTCCACTTTAAGGAACTTAGTTTTGAAAGACATTTTTTCCTTTCCGTTTAGGGTACATATTATTGGATTCCCCCCCCTTTTTAAAAAAAGAACGATTTATTCCAATGTAGTGGCACAATGACCCAAGAACAAGACAGCATCATCTCTTTAGTCTGAGAAGAGCATTTCTGGAGCACTTGACATTCAGCACATTTTAATAGTTGTCAGCAAATATGTAAGTGCTGTCTCTTATTCCTATTAATTGGTTACCTATGTTGAATGCCAAGCTGCATAACAGATACCAACTGTGTAAACAGACCAATTCATGATAAAATTATATCCTGTCTCTGAGAAACTATGCTGAAAGGAAAAACTGGGACATCTGAGAACCAAGTATTCACAGCCTGAGGTTTAGTGACTAAGCAGAAGTAGAAATACATTTTTAAAGAAGCTAAACCAGGACAAGACGACAAGAAGTAGGCAAGTGTAGCATGTACAGTTGGCCATATGAACTGCACTGTCCTCCTGCCTGCCTCTTCGGTGCAACTCCTCCCCCTTCCCCAATTCCCCTTGCCTTGCAATTGAGGGGGACATAATTGCGAAAAGGCTAGTTAGAATTAAGTAGGAATTTGGTTGAAAAAAAAATTTCTAGTGCAGATTGCCTTAGGTGCTAAATCCTTCCTGGCTCATCTTCTCAATGTAGGCAGGCTTCTGAGTCTAGATATGCGTGTGAAAAAACCACAATAAGATGGCACAATTTTGCTGCTGAGCAACATCCCAGCTAAATAGTTTAACTGAAGAAAAGGAAGGGCAGTGATTATGGCACTGGACTAGGATTAGGAAGATGCAGGTTTGAGTTCATTATCACTGGATAATTGAACTATTAATTCCATCTCAGCTTAATGCATCTCACAGGGTTGTTGTTGTAGGGATAAAATGAAGAAAGATTCCCACATAAAGCACTTTGAGTTCTGAGAAAAGTGGGAAATAGATCAACAGATTAATCTATATTTTAGGTAAAATATATGAAATCTAGGAATGCTGATATTTTTATATTGTACAATGCTTTTAAAAATGTAAATATCCAGAGGATTCTGTGAAATAAAATAGAAGGAAGGAAACTCTGTTACAATATGTATTAATCTTAGCTTTGAGCAAAGAATACAGAAGTAAAAGAATAATAGAGCAAAAGCTTGGATGCATTGTCTGACAACTAGGCAAGTTACAGAAAACAAATGAGCATGGTGATAACTAGAATACCTAGTATTACCTTTTCTTGCCAATTCTTTTCATTCAGCACTTTCTGCCTTAAAGTTTCCTGCAGACGTTCTGTTATCTTCTGATGGGAAACCTGCATAGATTCCCTAATTGTACAAAAAAAAAAATCATATATAAGATGCATTCTAGCCAAAGATATTATAAAAACAGTTCTAAATGGGATTTCTTGTCCGACTTCTAATTCTGCTTGTTTTAAATTTTGTTTTTGCTGCTGCCAGGTCAATATTTCCCAAGGAGATGCTATAGGTATGGAAAATACTGATACCGTTGACAGTGATTCTCTTCAGTTCAAGCATTTTCCCAACAGATTTCTGAAGCAGTAGAACACATTTATATCTAGAAATCCTCCCAAAATAAAAAAATACACATTAAAAGGTACCCTAATTATACAACATCTGAAGGAATTTATAGCATTATGTTATACAAATATCATAATTGCAGTAATTTATGTACAGGTAGTCCTCAACTTACAACAGTTCATTTAAGTGACTGTTCAAAGTTTCAACAGCACTGAAAAATGTGACTTATGACTGTTTTTCACAGTTATGACTTTTGCAACATCCCCATGATTATGTGATCAAAATTCAGATGCTTGGCAACTGGTTCATATTTATGACCGTTGCTGTGTCCCAAGGTCATGTGATCACCTTTTGAAACTTTCTGTTAAGCAAAATCAATGGAAAAGCCAGATTCACTTAACAACCATGTTACTAACTTATCAACTGCAGTGTTTCACTTAACAACTGTGGCAAGAAACATTGTAAAATGGGGCAAAACTCATTTAACAACAGAAAATTGGGCTTACTTCTAGTCGTAAGTCAAGAACTACCTACGGTCAGTGGTGGGTTTCAAAAATTTTTACTACCGGTTCTGTGGATATGGCTTGGTGGCCATGGCATGGCTTGGTGGGTGTGACGGGGGAAGATTACTGCAAAATCCCCATTTCCTTCCGATCAGCTGGGACTCGGGAGCAGAGAATAGATGGGGACGGGGCCAGTCAGCGGTGGTATTTACTGGTTCTCTAAACTACTCAAAATTTCCACTACCGGTTCTCAGAACTGGTCAGAACCTGCTCAAACCCACCTCTGCCTACGGTATATAGTAATTATGTCATCACAGTAACTTTCTGCTGCATTTATACACAATCAGAAGTAGTGCATAGCTGATCTATTTGTCCATTAAAATATTGTGTTAATATGTATGCATTGCATGTTGTTTCCTTCCATAACACCTTAAGGAGCTTACAAAAATATAATTAAAACAGAAAAGTACAGTTCAAACAAATAATAAAATATTATAAAAACCATGCATTTTTTAAAAATTAAATCATTAAAGCAATTAAATACTTGTTAAAGGTTTATTTTTTAAAATGAAGGCAGCTACAAACAGGGACCTAAATTGGAGATGCAACTAAAAGAGAAGAAATAAACTGTTTCCATGCATCTCTAATCTATATTTCCTGCTTCAAAAATCAGAACACATTTACCCCAAAGGAAAACAACATATATTGTATGCAGGTTCAGTTTAGAATGAGAAAAGAACACAGGTGATAAGATAAGCACAGCCATTTGACTTTTGCCTATGCTCCTGCTTTTAGAAAATAGTAGATATGGGAGAGTTATCTGATTGTACATATCATATCCTGCCCAATCTCCAATTAGTACACATTGTAATTCTATTTGGGAACACTTATGAAAGAAGATAATTATATTATTGGATCCCATCTATTGAAAAATAGCAATAATTATAAATCTTAAGAAGCTATATATGTTCTTGGATTAAAGAATACTGGAGAACAAGGCAAACCTCACTAACGCCTATTAAAATTGTGGATAATGACATTTGATAAGCAATATACTGAAATACAAGCATACACATATTAGGTCTGGCATGTTACATAACATAACTGAATTAACCACAACCCCCATGCACCAATATTATTGCATTAGGTTGCAATCTTAAGAAGCTGAACCTGTTGCATAGGTGATACAACTAATTTTAGCAGATTATGTTTGATATTTGTTTGCAAGGCTGTTTGATGATACCACTTACCAGAAAAAAGCAGCAAACATCTCCCATAGGATAGCATATTTAGAAAAATGCACAGAAAATTATTTTTATCGTAAAATAATGATTTACTATCCCTCCCCCACCCAAAAAATAGATAGGCATGCATTACTTTCAGAGGCATAATGTAGCTGAGAATTCATATAATGTAATGATTGTATATAGTATGAAATAAGAACTACCATTTAAATCTCACAAAATCTTTCTCTAGGGGGTGGTGCTCATCTCAATTTCTTAGCCAAGAGAGCCAGCGTTGTCCGCAGACATTTTGGTAGTCATATAGCCAACATGTATATGCACTGAGGTTCATGGAACACTCACCTTCCCACCGAAGTGATATTTATTTATCTATTCACATTTCCATGCTTTCAAACAACTAGGTGGGTAGGAGCTGAGACAAGTACCAGTGCTCAGGTCTTGAACCCAGGCTGTCAGCTTTCCACCTGACAAGGTCAGTATCTTTAACCACTGAGCCATCACGCCATCATCTTAAATCTCATATTACCCTTGAATTCATATGAAATTCCATGTGAACACCTTTCAACAGTATGGGAATCCAAATTCTCATACTGTTAGTATTAGTATCCAAAAGGTAGGTAAGGAAGGAAGTAAATAGCCACAGCTAAACAGCAAGTGAAATTGTGGGAAACCCAGTTCTGGTTCTTCTCTGGTTGCTTGGTCATCTCCCTGGGACAATTTGAACCCTCCCTCTTTAACATTGGTGAGTAAAAGGCAGTGACAGCTATACTATACCTACTATACAGCCCTCTGTCAAGCTACTTGGGTAGAAGTTGAAATGTCAATGAAGTTAACATATATTAAATGGTTTGGACATTTTCATTACTCCAATAACAATAGCTAGGTATGCCATACCGGAGAACATTAATTGTTCAGTCATCACAATAAAAATAAATGGAATTTTAAAAAATTGTTAACCTCTTCCATTGACCTAAATGGTACTGGAGCTTTATTAATCTCAATTAGGGCTCAACAAATTATAACTATTTGTTATAACTCTTGGCTGGTTATGGGTTAAGTATATACAGTGCAGACCTTGGAATTCAATGGGATCACTGATGAGTAAGCATGCTTGAGATTGTACATTATTTTATTGCACGCTAACAACCTATGTAACTATTTATTTTGAGTGAGGAGTACTGCATGTGGAAAGAAAACCTAGGAAAAACATCTGGACCTGTATCTCTGGGTACGACAAGACATTTCTAATTACCTTTCTTGCTTAAGCATGACTATTTCTTCCTCTCGCTGTTTCAGAAGCTTGCTGATTGTTTCCAGTTCACTTTCCACAATCTTTATTTGTTTTTTAAAATTATCTTCTCTCTTTTCTTTCTCAATTGTTTCTTCCTGTAAACATTTATACATTTGTTGGCAGGCAAGTAAAGATTGTTCTTTTTCTGTCACCATATGAGTAAACCTAAATGTAAAACAAGAAATATAGTAACTGAAATATTCAGACACACATACACTCTCTCTCTCTCTTTTTCTCATTTTACATGGCCCTTAACAGTAAATGGAACTGAGGTTTATGGGAAGAACTTCTTTTCATTAAAGAGATAACAGACAGGAAGCAGCAGGTGAAGCTAAGTAGAATCACATCAGATACCTGTACAATTAGCACAGGGCCCCCACAAGACTGTGTGCTCTTTCCACTTCTCTCTATATACCAATGACTGCATCTCAAATGATCCATCTGTTAAACTACTGAAGTTCGCAGATGACACAACAGTGATCAGTCTCATTCGAAACAATGATGAATCCACATACAGACAGGAGGTTGAACAACTAACCTCATGGTGCGACCAGAACAATCTGGAACTGAACACACTCAAAACTGTAGAAATTGTGGTGGACTTTAGGAGAAACCCTCCCATACTACCACCTCTTACAATACTAGCCAACACAGTAACAACAGTAGAGACCTTCAAATTTCTAGGTTCTACCATATCTCAAGACCTAAAATGGACACCTAACATCAAAAACGTCATCAAAAAAGCACAACAAAGAATGTTCTTTCTGCGCCAACTCAGAAAGCTCAAACTGCCCAAGGAGCTGATGATACAGTTCTACAGAGGAATTATTGAGTCTGTCATTTGCACCTCTGTAACTGTCTGGTTTGGTTCTACAACCCAACAAGACAGACCCAGACTTCAGAGGATAATTAGAACTGCAGAAAAACAATTACTACCAACCTGCCTTCCATTGAAGACCTGTATACAGCACGAGTCAAAAAGAGGGCTGTGAAAATATTTACAGACCCCTCGCATCTTGGACATAAACTATTTCAACTCCTACCCTCAAAATGACGCTATAGAGCACTTCACACCAGAACAACTATACACAAGAACAGTTTTTTCCCAAACACTGTCACTCTGCTAAACAAATAATTCCCTCAACACTGTCAAACTAGTTATTAAGTTTGCATTACTAGTAATCTTCTCATCGTTCTTATCACTCATCTCCTCCCACTTATGACTGTATGACTGTAATCTTGTTGCTGGTTTCCTAATATTATTTGATTGCTTATTTGTTCCCTATGACTATCATTAAGTGTTGTACCTTATGATTCTTGACGAATGTATTTTTTCTTTTATGTACACTGAAAGTGTATGCACCAAGACAAATTCCTTGTGTGTCCAATCACACTTGGCCAATAAAGAATTCTATTCTATTCTATTCTATTCTAAATAAGAGTGCAAATGAAATACAGGAAATATAACAAAATGAGACCTAGAAATATATGTTTATAAAAATACAAATCCATGTAATTAAAAGAAACTTTTAAAAGTTTAATAAATATACAAAGAGAAGATAGAGCTTTGTATAACAGATTTATAATCCGAATAAATTGAAAATTAGTAAAGGAAGTATAACAAACAGGTTAGAAAACAGAGACTAGGAACCTAGTTTAAGAAAATTAAACGATCTTCTATGTTTAGCATTTTTAGTATCTGCAAAAGAAGAGTAAAATTTAACAAATAATTAAAAATCATACAATGTAAAACAATTATAAAAACTGCTAGGAAACCGAACATAATTATTTAAGTAGAAGAAGTTATAAACACCACCTGCATTTCATATATTTGTAACCATTATGACTCATACCGAGATTTAGCTATTCCAATTTCAGATGATAACTTTTGAAATTCCCTCTGATGGTCTTCACATTCTTTTGATTTCTTTCTAGAATACAGAACTTTGAATTATTAACTTTATTTCTTTTTAAAAATAAAGAAAACTTTAGTAATAAAATTGGTTAAGTTTTTAATGCTTATTCTAAACCTCAGCAAAACAACACAAAGCTATAATATTGTTTTATATTGTTTTAATATACACTTTCGGCATGAGAAAACTCACCCTGTGTGCAAGCAAGTAGTATATCTATGTTTTACCAATATACCAATATACTAACTAGGTCAAAGGTCTCCAACCTTGTGGACTTCAACTCCCAGAATTCCTCAGCCTTCTGGAACTCCCAGAATTCCTCAGCTTTCCTTTGCTTTGGTGGCTGAGGAATTCTGGGAATTGAAGTCCACAAGTCTTAAAGTTGCCAAGGTTGAGGACCCCTGAACTAGGTGGTTCTCAAACCAAAATCCTAGTATGCAAATAACTGAGTTTAGACAATATTAAAATCCAAATAACACCAAGACAAAAATTCCAACTGCTTCTTTTCACTTTTGTTTGAACTGTGCAGATGTATAGAAAAGCTAAAGTAGGGATAAGTATTAAATTGGAAAAGCCTGAAAGCTATAGGCGTAGTGGTTTTTGAAAATAAGCTCTATAATAAATTCCTCTCCTTTTTTACTGGGGGAAAACTTAACACGTGACAGAGCAAACCTCAGTAGATGTTTTAGAACACTTCAAACAAGAAAGTTAACATATATAGTACCCTGTAATAGGTTATTCATGCTACAATAAAACAGTCCATCAAGACTACAGATAAAGAAGGTACAGCATAATCAGAAAAATCTCTAAGATTGGGGGGGTGATGGGTGTTTAAAGACTGGGATAGAGAGAGCCCTATTGGCTCTTTTTGTTATCTGATTCTATCTGTAGGTTCTTGTCTCTTTTTTCCCACAGAACTCTTGGAAAACTGCTCCAGTTTCCAGTTGGATCCATGTTCTCATTCAACAGGAATCAGTCTGATATCTCCAGTAAGCCAGAGAAGCTGGTGCTTCTATATACAGGTCCTTGACTTACAACCACAATTGGAACCAGAGTTTCCATTGTTAAACAAAGCATTTAAGTGAAGCATGCCTGATTTCATGAACTTTTTTGCTATGCTGTGATTCATGCAGTTGTAAAGAAAATCTGGCTCCCCCCACCCCAGCCCCACCATTGACTTTGTTTATCAGAAACTGGCTGGAAAGGTCACAAATGGTGATGTGACCCCAAGATGCTGCAACCGTCATAAATACATGCCAGTTGCCAAGTGCCCTCATTCTGATCATGTGATTATTGGGGATGCTGCAGCGATTGTAAGTACAAGGTCATAAGTCACTTTTTTCTGTGTCATTGTAACTTTGAATGGTGGCTAAATGAATGGTTGTAAGTCAATGACTACCTGTATGCAATTTAGTAGTAGATGGAAATGGATTCTGACCCAGGTGGACTGACATAGATATATTATCTATGCAAAAATTTTAATGAAATGTCCAAAGGGTATTCTACAGATAGTTCTTGTTCAGCGACCATTCATCCACTGATCATTCAAAGTTATGACAGCACTGAAGAAAGGGACTTACAACCCATTCCTTGTAATTGCAACCCTCGCAGCATCCCTGGAGTCATGTGAACCTGATTCAGGTGCTAGTAACTGGCTTGCAGTTAGTATAGTCACAGCATCTCAGGGTCACATGATCACCATTTGCAACATTCACTTCTGATAAGCAAAATCAATGGGGAAGACAGCCGGAGGTCACAAATGGCAATGATGCAAGCATGGAACAGTCTAACCTTGTGGGATTTGTATAACAAAGGCAGATGAAATTGCCATTGCCATCGTACGTTGGTACCGTCATATTACATCACACTTTTACAACAGTGTTGCTTACCAATGGAGTTGCCAGTCCCAATTACCATTGTTAAGCAAGCATTACCTGTATTTGTAAAGGCTTCTTTTAACCTAATCTGATCAGGAGTAATATAATTTTTACAATCCTTTACATAACTTTTCCCCACCTTGATAGAAAAAATGGATTGGACTAGTCAATAACATTGTCACACTGTTTTTTCCATTAATGCATCTTGTATTTATTGCTTATCTGAAAACTATGGGCATTTATTGGGAAACAGTGATAAACAGGTCTTAAGCCTTTAAGTGCTGTGAATGGACTATCTGGAACTAACCAGTTGGCCACAAGGAAACAGGCTTGGTCTTGGCTTGATTTGGTATCGGTATGTGTATGTGTTAATACTTACACATGTGATACTTTTCAAACAAAAAAGCAGAATATAATAAAACATAAGTTACACTCTGACTTTTCAATTACTGTATCATTCACTTAAATAAGTAATTACAAGCTGTTAAGCAAAAAAGAATGGTATTGTGTATGAATAAAATGAAGTGTCTTACATTACTAGTTCTTTAAAATATGTAATTTCATCGGCAGCTTTCTGGAACTTGAGTTCAGTTGCCTGTATTTCATCTGTTAAATCTGTAACAACAAATCATTGTCTATCATTTTCATTAATTTAACTATGCCTTCTGCCTCAATGGTTCAAGTCAGTTACAATATATTATAGCATGTAATATTTTATAATGTGAGTTATTTATAAAAAATAGTTCCTGTATTTGTGTTAATGTTGTAGTTATAAAATATTATAAGAAGCAATATAAAATTTATTGTGAATGTACAATATAATAAAAATAACTCCAAATACCTCCTAAAGTTCTTAGAGGAGATAGAAACAGATATTCAGTTGAATGGCATGGCTTTTATTTTCCTTCTCCATGTCTTTTCAAAATAATGCACCAGATGATCTACCAATTCTCCAGAACAGATTTTGGAAACGTTCTGGATTAATTTTATCAAGAGTTTTAAAAAATAAGGAACAATTTATTGTAATTTGTGGAACAGACCAAATTTTTATATTGATGTAATTTTCTAGAATTTCCAAGGCATTAAAAGTATTTTTGTAGCATTAGGTAATGATACCAGAAGAAAATGAATTACATAAAAGATCACTGGTTTTACAAATGGTTTTACAGAAACATTTGACAATTACAGTGGGCTTGTGCAAATATTTACTGTAAATTATATAGAAAATAAATCCAGAAAATAAAGTATCAGCACACATGGCTACATAATGATCTTACTTCCAGCTCCCTGCTGTGCATATAATGTGTGACCTGATAACAGTGTTCCAATATCTAAGGGGCTGCTACAAAGAAAAGGGGTCAACCTATTCTCCAAAGCACCTGAAGGCAGGACAAGAAGCAATGGATGGAAACTAATCAAGAAGAGAAGTAACCTAGAACTAAGGAAAAATTTCCTGACATTTAGAACAATTAATTAGTAAAACGACTTGCTTCTAGAAATTGTGGATGCTCCAACACAGGAAGTTTTTAAGAAGAGATTAGACAATCATTTCTCTGAAATGGTATAGGGTCGTGATGGCGAACCTATGGCATGTGTGCCACAGGTGGCACGTAGTGCTCTCTCTGTGGGCACACGAGCCACCCAAGTTCAGCTTCACCGCACATGTGCGCGCGCCTCCCGCCAGCTACCTGGTAGTCAGATCTCTGCCGTGCATGCACTGGGCACATGCGAGGGGTCTCTGCCACGCATGCACAGGGGGTGGTGGCACATGCGGGGGCGGGCGCATGCAGGGAGTGGGGCTTATGGGGGGCCCATGCGCACATATGTAGGGGTGGGGCACATTCAGCGGGCCGTGCGCACATGTGTGGGGGCCAGGGCGCATGTGCAGGGGTTGCACATGCATTGCATTTTGGGGGTTTGGCTGCACGCATTCACGTGCACTCACACACTTTGGGCAGGCACTCCAGAAAAGGTTAGCCATCACTGGTATAGGGTTTCCTGCCTGAGCAGGGAATTGGGCTAGAAGACTTCCAATGTCCTTCCAACTCTGTTATTCTGTAGTCAATAGATTCTTCTGTAAGCCTCAGACTGCATATTTCCAAAACTTGCTGTTTCCCATTTTTGAAATCCTTCCGACTAATTGTGACTCAGCAAGTGGCAGCCCCTAGTTATTCTTGGTGGATCTCAGAAAGGCTAAGCAATGTCAGATCTAAAAAGCACTGGAATGGAAGACTGCTAAGAAATCCTTGGCTGTAAATCAAATGTAGGAGTTAAAAAAAATAAAAAGTCTGGATGGCAAATAACTTCTGCAATGATGCCAAAAATTTTACACGGATATACTGTATGTCCATGAAATCAACAGGAATTGAGCTTAAATGAAGAAAATATTTATTGCAAGAAAATATAAAAATATGTTGCAAGGAAAAATAAAAAATACAAAACCATCCAAAATGTCAAGGCACAGTTCTGGGACATTTACAGAGAGAGTAAAAAAACTTGAGAGCTGAAAGAAAGTAAGCAGCTTTGTTACCAAACATTTTATATAGACATAAATACTTTGTTCTTGAGTGGGAAAATATTTTACTTTTGAATGGATTTTAATATATAGAACAGGTTTTATAGAAAAATATTATAATAACTACATCAACAATAGAAGTAGAAAGACAAAGAAAATTACTGTGCAGAAAATGGCAACCAAAATAACTGGGAAGAATAAAGGATGCCACTCCAAATTCAGGGAGATTCAGAACTGATAAATGAAGCATTTATTTACAGAAATCATAGTACTATGTAGTAGTATGCATAGTAGTGAAATAACACTAAGCAATTCTGTTTCAAGGAAGAAAATGTGGAAATTCTCCAAACCTGCTTGATTCATCACTGAATAATCCAAAATACTGGACTAGATGATCTAATATCTACTCTGAGATATTCTAGTATTATATTCTTACACATTGACTGAAATCAAAACAAAAATGCTTTGTCAGGCAGTGCTTGCTGTTGTCAATCTAAACCAATTATCTCTAAGGAAGGATCACCTTACCCTTATGGATATCTAAACTGCTCTTATGGCTTCCAGACTAACAATTTTAATTTCAATAAGCAACTGTGAAATCCTTATTACAGAATAGGGAAATTTGGAGCAGAGTTATAAGAGAATAAAGGGTTATACCTCTCTTATTATAATATTCTTTGCTCTACATTTCTCCATCCCCGTCCATATTATTATTTCTACCCCTTCGTCCCCGCTCCTCCTCCTCCTCCTCCTCCACCTCCTCCTCCTCCTCGTTCAGTCTCTAATCTATGCATCTGTCTTCTTCAAATCACAGATGATCCCTGGTTCTTCATGCACATATATCCGTATAATTCTGAGCAACAGTCAGAAATGTATTTATTTATCCCTTCTTCCAGGATGGGTTTTTTTTTTTACTTCTCAGTCTAGTCCACAGTCCTGACAATCTCTACCGGAGTAGTTCCTATCCAAAAAAGTATTGAAGGCTGGCTTATTTAAGTTTCTGAGTCCAGGCTCACTCTGCAAGATCCTAACACCTGCTAAATGTTATTTATTGTATTGATTTGCTTCATAAATTTATATAGCACACTTTTATTATATAAAATAAACCTATGTGGTCAACAAAACACAATAATAAGACTAAATCATACTAGACTAAAACTCTAGCAAACCATCAGTGCAATAACAGTACCTTCTCTATAAAATACAAAAATATATATGCTATGTTCACCTCTCATCTTGACCCATACCCGAGGGAAGAACCATGTCTTCAATTACTTTTTTCATATGTTAAAATGATTTTTATGTCTATACAGAGTATTAAATTGCATTAATTTAATCCCTTCCAGCATTCTTTATACAGTACATACCTGAAAGATCTGACAATGACAAAAAGCACAACTTTAGTTTATGTCAAAAATGTACTGGCAACATCTATACCATAGCTGGTCACAGTGACCCTTTTGCTACAGGCATGGGAGAGATATTACAAATTCCACACAATCACATCAAATGTAAAAATAATTTTAAAAGAACTCTTTTTACATCAAAAAGCTGACCTTCTCAGTAATCGACATTTATGAAGAAATTGCATTCGACATATAAAAAAGATTTCCATGCTCATTTCAATAATTGTTTCAATATGACACAATAGATAATCCAAGTGGAAGAATTAATGTGTCATCAGATTTTGTCAAAGATAAGAAAATTAAGTGTTTTAAGTTGTGTAATAAAAATACATCAATGGCATTTCTTAAAATTGCACAGGAATAGAATTTAAATAATCTAAAGCCTGAAGTATTGCAAAACCCACAAGTGCTTCTAAATTTGCTTATACTGACACTTTCCACAAATTCTAACTTTGCCCAAAGTGACAATCTCCACAGGTATTGGAATTCCAACACCCATAATTCTCATTCTTAGAGCTGTATCTACATAACTAGAGAGAGGCAGGTTGAGAAAGGCTATAATTATGCATCTATACTATTATGGTTCATCGCAGTCAGCCAGATGTTCAGACTGGATTTGGCATTTTAATCCACCTATCGAGTCCTTTCCAAGGACCTGGGATAGACAGATGTAGATGTTTAATGGTGTTACAGGTATCGTTGCAGGAGATAAGCTGTTCTGAGTAAAGCCACTTTTTGCAACTGACTGATGGTGAATTTGTCAGTGCTGATGCAGTTCAAGTGGTACTCCAGTTGTTTTGGGATTGTACCCAAGGCACCTACCTTTGCTTTCTTTTTAATAAATTTATTTGCCACCTATCTCGCCCTGGGGTCACTCTCAGCAGGTCACAACCATTAAAAAAAATGAAGAAATTAAAAGAAAGTTTAAACAAAGTGAAAGTAAAATAGAACAAAAAATAACCAAGAAAAAGAAAACAAAGATAAATATGATTAATTAAAAAAAAAAAAAGATGGACGAGTGGGGAGCAGAGAGCAGGGGGTGGAGAGATGGAGTCTGCTATCGATCTAACAACCATCTCCAGAGTTGAACTGCCCTATTGGATCCGCAACCAACTTGCAGAGCCAGGCCTTTAAGCTCTTAGGATAGGAGGTTGGGGGCAGATCTTACCCTGGAGGGCAGGATGTTCCAAAGGGTGGGTGCTATGGCAGAAAAAGCTCTTCCTTTGGATTCCAATAGTCAGAGTTCTTTGACCGACGGGATTTGCGGTAGGCCCCCTTTGCTGGCCCAAGTAGGGTTGGCTAGACAGGACAATGTATTACATTAATGCTACCCTCTTAACTATTATAGAGATGTTGCAGATAAATGGAAGAAAACAGATATCATCAAATCAGAAAAAGGAGGGCCCAGGAAGCCAGATAACAATTAATCAAACAGGCATACCTAAAATATGTAATGAAACAACATGCAAATACTTTGAAAACAATGAATACTAGAAGTATTTGCCAAGGACATGTCTTCGGCTAAACTTACTGTTTTTAATATATGGTAGTTTCTTAATACATTATGGGAATGTTGTAGATATAAAATGTTTTGTGTTCAACAAGATGGAGTGAAATATCAAGTAGAACATCAAAATGATTCATCTTGGACACAGTCCCTTCAACATTTTTATGAACTACTTAGATCAGGGGTGGGGAACCATGGCCCTTTCATGACTTGTGGACTTCAACTCCCAAATAAAGAGGCAGAAGGATACATCTCAATGTTTCAGTCATATAAATGTAGGTGAGACAATTTAAACTTTAACAGATGGTAATAAATTTCAACATGTTTTCAATAATCTAGAAAGTGGAAAAATATAATAAATTTTAATAGAGATAAATTCAAAATTCTCAACTCAAAAGCTACTAAAGTCAGTTTGGTGTGGTGGTTAAGGCACCAGGCTAGAAAATGGAAGACTGAATTCTAGCCCTGCAATAGTCATGAAAACCCAGCTGGGTGACCTTGGGCCAGTCACTCACTCTCTCATGTTTTTCCAAAAAGAAGACCAGGTCTTATTTTGTTCACAAGATAAACATAAGTCAGCAATGTAAAGGAAAATGCAATTTTCAGCTTTATCCAATTTGAAGCTTCCTTCGGAACTATGATAAAAATGTATTTTCAGCTGTCCTGATCCTACCTCTAGTGCTACATGGACCAACTAGGTTAAATAAAGGCAGTAAGAATGATCAAAAGAAACATTAAAATGAATTGGGAATGCTTAATTTTGAGAATAGTGCACTGAGTTTGGGTATGATAGTATCCTTCAATTATCTGAAAAACTACCGTATTTTGAAAATTAGATCTTGACTGACATTCAAGATCTAATTTTCATCATTTCAGAATACAGGATATGGAACAATTAGTTCAAGTTCAAGGGAGGCAGATTCCAACCAAACGTTAGAAAAATCATCCTAATAGTAAGGGCAGGTCAACAGTGGAATTAATTAGGTAGTAGGCTCACTTTCACCCTTCTTGAGAAGCATTCAGGCAGAAGCTTAGTCAGAAATCCTTAAAGTGCAACGCCCTGCACTGAGCAAGGAGTTGGATTTATTGGCAAATGACTGCTCCCTACTCTATTGTTCCATGGCGCCAAGCATTTAGGTCCATTCTTGTGGTAAACACCAATAACCCACGGGTAAATTCCAGCAGGTTTGTGACAAGAATTGTAAAATGCAGAAAATAACAAAATTATTAATAAAGTATACATTTGTAAAAAATATCTCAATAATTAACTATATTGGCTGATTGGTTTAATTTTATATTTGCCGATAAATTTAAATTTCTCATGAAGTAATCTCAGGATAGAATTATAGAAAACATATAGGTACCACAAAATTAGAACATAAAAATGCAAAAAACTATTTAGCAAGCAAACGAGTCAACAAAAAGCACTAAATAAAATGTTTCATATTTCAATCAAGTAGCAAAAAGGCCACAACATATATCTAGATTAGAATAAAAATGCTAAAATTGACATTTGAAATGATTGGTTTATTTTTTGAAGTCATAGCAGATTACAGGATTGTAAAAAGAAAGTTTTTAGACAGGAATGCCAAATATCTTCCCTGCAATATGTTTTATTCCAGTCACATGCTGAAATTGACAGCAACTTGCAATTGTATCTTATCTACAGCTGCCCTTGGTATACGTTCTCTGTTGAACTGATTTTCTTGTGGGTATTCAAAAACACACTGGAGGCATGTATTTTCAAACAGTTTTTTTTCATTGTTTTCATTTTAAATTTTAATTTAATTGTGTTTCCAGATCTGTGCTTTGCAATAAACAAATCTGAATGGTTCATTAAAGTAGAAAATTCTGATATTTCTGCTTTGTATTTCACATAACTCAACAGCCTTAAAATGAAATGTCTGTCTATCCATTGATCTCAAGGCAGTCAGTAAAAGGCAGAAACTTTAAACAATGAATATTGAAAAAGTACAATAAAAACCAGAAGTGAAAAAGCAAAATCAGCTGGAAAGACAGGTTTTTCTTCTCTTACCTCATTCTACTTTTTTATTTTTCTTAGTTTGTATTATTTTTTATATTTCTAATTGTAAAATTTAGTAAAAGTATTATAAAAAAGTAATATATTTCAAAGAATAAATTCATATAGCAAACACATGTCCATCATCTGACAAAATAAAAAAGTAAAAAATAAAAATAACAGTTAAAATAATTAATTAATTAAAAACAAAATAAATTCAAATGGCAGACTCGATGCACTACTAGCTCTTTTTCTGACATCAGCTTTCTATGAAGAAGACAAACTTCAGACACAGCATTTTACTGTCCTGATATTTCTAAGGAAAAGTTCTATCATTTGAGTCCCCTTGCTAAATTTCAGATGGAGTATGGTTGCAATGCTTTCTCATGGGCAGAGTAGCAGGTCTTTAACAAAACTTTTTAGCAACGATCAGACATATCCATGGACTTCTGAGGGAAGCAATGACAAAATGAAGTTGGCTCCATTGAGAGCATAGCCAATGATGCAGCATAACAAAGACCCTGTGAATGGACCAACAATCTCCCACAAAAATTCCATACAGTAACTCTCTGCAAGGAAGTGGCCTCTAGTTGGTTGAGAGACATAGAATAAAGATAGCATTGATCTCACTTTGTGGTGACCTTTGGTACAGCTGAAATCAAAGTAGTGCAGCCATTGTTTCTCTTTGATCTCATAGCTGCTTTTGGTACGATCAGCCATACTGATTGTACCGATCTGGTTTTTCTGTGTAAACTTGAAGTGAGAGGCACAATGCTGTGGTGTGTTTCTTTGCTTTTCTTTGTGATTGGGTTCTCTCAAGTTGGATGGACTCAACATGCTAATGAAGAGCTGAGTATTTTCCAGGATATCAATGGTATGTATGATGTAGCTAGGTTAAAGCCTTTGAGACATCTAGTTGCTTATGTTGCCATGCAGGAAAAGAAAAACTCAAGCTACAAAGATAAAATCAGAACTGGAAAATAAAAACATAAGCAGCACAAAAATGGGAAGTTCAACTCAGGTGAAAGATTAAATTAGGCATGGCAAGAGAAACCTGCAGATCCCAGGATATTGTTCTGGGTTTCTTTTTTTATTATTCACTTTATCATTGTTTATTATTATTGTCCCAATATTTTTATCATTGCAAGACTACATTTTTTTCCTGCAAATTGGTGGAGTACCAGAGCTTGATAATCATTTCCATTCTAAGGTTTTGCAATTTTTCCACACTATGAGACACGGATGACTATTTTTAAAAACAAAAACAAAAACAGAACTCTTCAGAAATTGAGGATGATTTTCTGCCTCTAGAATCTGACAGAATTTCACGATGACAGCAGCCAAAATTTGGTAAATCTACATAAGACTCATTGAAATCAGACTTGGTTGTATATGTTTATAGAAAAGAGTTAACCATATAACTAAATTGACTGAAATAGTAGGAGCACTTTTTTTTTTTACAAGGAATAATACTTCTTGTTCACATTATTTAATTCTTCTAGTATCTTCAGTAGAAGTAAAGCATTTTTAAGTTAAAGACAAACTTCACTTTAAAGACAAATTAAAATATATTTTGCCCATGAGTGGATAAAATACATTTGGGTTTGTTGGCCCTTTTTTCTTTTCAAAACATATACTGTTGTTGTTGTTGTTGTTGTTGTTGTTGTTATTATTATTATTATTATTATTATTATTATTATTATTAAATCTTTAGTGAGATTCACAGCCTTTGAGGCTGGTTAATAGCTCAGCAGCTTGAGTCCTAACCAAGGACCTAGGAACTGTTAAGGTATCGTCGGAGGATATAAACTGTTCCGAGTAAGGTGGTTTTTTGTAGAGTCAAAATGTTCAAGTCCGGCAAATTTAGAATTTCTAAATAGCGGGGTATATTATTATTATTATTATTTGCTCCACTGCTGGTCTTGGTGTTTTTCTATTTACTGAAAACAGGAGAGCATTGAGCTCTTTCTGAGGCAAAACAGAAATTCATTTTACTAATTTTCTGGTCATACTGACCTCAAAGAAGGGAAAGGCAGATTAGGAAAAAAACAAGTTTTTTCATGCTTGAAAATTTAAAATTATTTCCGTGGGAACAAGTAGTACATCTTGATTTTCAGCTTGTCAGCCAAAACTTAGAATGCAAATGGCCTATTACTAAGTACATTGATAAGTTTAATGGAATGTAATTGGTAGAATTACCTCATAGCTTTCATTCATTAAAACACAAGTTAGATTTTGGGATTTATTTCTTATAAAAAACAGTTAAAAGTGAAAGTAACAGCTTTTGTTAAAGCCATGCAAAAATATACTGATGGAGGGATTGCATGAATCAGTGGTTCATGTACATTTATGCACATAGTAGGAAATTTTCAGTTTCCCATTACTTCCATGATAGAATGTCTACCGCAATAATACATGTATTCAAAACATACTCTTCTTCACTTTTTAAAAAGTTAACATCTTACCTTGCATTTTCTTTTGTAATTCATTACATTTATTTTGTAATTCGCTCTCCCGTAAAAGAGAAGCCTGAAGTTGCTTAGTTTCCAGTGCAGCTGCATCTGACTTCAGTCTTAGGTGTTCCACCTCTTTTTGAAGGATTAGTTGTTTCCTCTGACACTCACCTAAGGTTTGGTTCAAACTGGATACTTCTGAAATGTGATAAAGGTCAGGACAAAAATATAATTGTATCCATACTACAGCTTTTATAACATTTATGTACTCTGATTATATCATCCAAAAACATCTTTATTTGTTGCTATACTAGTCTATAAGAAAACAGGGTAGGGATATGTAGTTATTAAGATACTAGTATTATTTCAATTTGTCATCTAGTTAATTGATACAAACTAAAATAATGGATTTACTCCTAAAAACAAGGAAACATTTTCTGACAGTGAGAACAATTAATTAGTGTAATGTCTTGCCTTCAGAAGTTGCGGGTGCTTCATAACTGCAAGTTTTAAAAAGAAAATGGACAGCCATTTGTCTGGAATGATAGAATGTCTCCTGTTTGAGCAATAAGTTGGACTAGAAGACCTCCAAGATCCCTTCCAACTCTTGTTATTCTACATTCCATTCCTATTCCTATTCCTATCCTATTCTAAAGTCCCTTCCAACTCTTGCTATTCTGTTATTATTCAAATCTTCTCTAATTCGTAGTGAAAACCTAAACATTACAACCAATATATGGTTGATAAAAGCCCTGTAAAGACTTTGCCAACTTGATTAATTCACTCTGTAGTCTAATACCTAGGTAATGGTCAAATATATTTCCTAATAGTATTCACTTTATGCTAAAGTGTATGTTAATGTCTTGGAAAAATTTGCAAGTTAACATTGTATTCATTCATACATGTATATCTATTTTTTTTTGAGAAATACTATACATGAAAAATAAAATTAACTTTCCCTCAAGTCAAACTTGACTCTGGAGTAAAATCACTCCATACTCCATATATATTTGAAAGTCAGTTTTTTTTTTAAAAAATGGAAATTTTTATTAAGCACATATTAAAACATTGGACCCGGTGTAACCGTCCTGGCATTATCTTTGCTATACATACTAAAATAAAAGATAAGTATCATATATACCTTACTACTTATATAAATTTGGTCTATTCAGTATTTACATATATAAAGACATAGTTTTTCTATCTATATTACTTATACATTTGTCTTATCCACTTTCATTTTATTGTAATGACATACATAACCTTAATTCTCCATTCTATGAATTCTATTCAGTTCATATTTTTTGTCTCTCCTTCCCATTCCAACCATTGATAAAATTTGTTCCATAGTTCATAATATTCTGATTCACCTTTATTTTTCAATTCCAACGTTAATCTATTCTTTTCCACGCATGTCTAAATTTTTTTGATCACTTCATCTTCTAGGGGGATTTCCTTATTTTTCCAATTTTGGGCAAATATCATTCTTGCTGCTGTTATAATATGTATTATTAAATAAATTACTCCTTTACTATATTTCCCATTTATAATTCCCAATAGGAATAGTTCTGGTTTATATTCTATTTCTTCACCAGTTACTTCTGCCAGCAATAAGTGACTTAAATTTTATCCCTTTATCTCTATATCAATTCGCATCTTAAAAATCCACAGAAAAATATTTGGCACATTATTTTTCAGGTTGATCCTAAAACAGTTTTTCTAATATACCGTATATGTTTATCCATTAATTTTCTCCAAGATTATCCATTTTTTGTGATATCTCATTATTATTTGCGTTTTCAGTGGCACTTTATATAAGAAACATTTTTCTGTGCATTTTAAATGAAAATTGTAACCCAAAATTAAGACAAATGAAATTTGAAATGGATGAATATACTAGTCATCAACCTGAATCATATACTGATTTGTGTACATTGCATCAAAATATGATCTGAAAATATTTTTCTAATCCCTACACTATACAGTACAATAACCACAAATCTCAATGAAAACAAGGTATCAATTCAATGTATTGCCTTGATAATAAAATACATGTGAACTCTATAACCAGTCTGAAAGTGGAACATGCTAGGAAAAGCTTTGCTTTGATAATCTACCTGCCAGTCCTATTTTATTAATGGTTTTTAGTTGTAAAAATACATCTCCTTTCAGTGAAATCCATTCTTTGAGAAAACCAAGTATTTCTTCTTTAAACTTGTTTAACTCTCCCCTGATAAAGGGAATAAGATTAAAAGCTTTCTTTAGGATAAATTTATGTCGTTGCAATGTTTTCCTGCCAAAAAAGAAAGAAAAAATGGTTATGATTTTAAAATCAAAATAATATTTAGAAGATATCCCCTTTAAATCAATATTTAAATCAATTTTAATGTAAGGAAAATAATTTTTTGACACAAATACACAAGTTTAGATAAATACTTAAGTAGCAAAAGAAATTCCTGTTGTTAGAGTTTCACTGAAGACTTATTTCCATTTCAAGTTGGCATAAAAGAGAAGAAAATACAATCATCTATGGCAGCGGCCCCCAAACATTTGGGCACCAGAGACTGATTCCATGGAGAGAGGTTTTTCCACAGACCAGAGGGGGCATGGTTTTGCATGGTGCCTGCATCCCGCGGATGGACTTCAATTGTTTCCACAGCCTCGTTTCTGGCATGTCATGGACCAGAGCCAGTTTACGGACCGGGGGTTGGGGACCACTGATCTATGAGAGTCAGTGCAGGAAATTCCTAGGGTGTATGCTTATTGCTAAATCAAGATCTTGCCTACACATTCTTAAAACATCAGGCCATTACTTTGGTCAATAAACCTCAATTTACACATTATTTCCTTGTATATACTACTATAATTTTTTAAATACAGCTTTAAAATCTACTAAGAAAACAGATTTTTCAAGTAAATGACAAACAGACAATTTTACTAGAAAATAAATTCCCCCCCAAACCACCTCATGTGAGAATTCTTACTGGACCAATTGTGACTGTCTCCATATATCATCCTTTTCTTTGTGAAAGCTTTTCAACTGTTTGTTTAAATTCTCTATTGCAGTTTCCTTATTTTCAAGTTCTGCAACTAATTCTTTTATTCTGAAAGAAATAAAATATATAGTATTATCCTTTGCCTAAAAAAATAATAATTAGTCTCATTAATTCCTGCCTTAGATCCCATGATACCCTTCTGTTCAAGGAAAGCCTTTTTTCTCATAGTTAGGACTATCTGTCCTTAACAAGAAGATCAGGGAATTTCTTCATCTTGCTAAATGAAGAAAAAGAGGGGGTTTCATTTTGAGCATCTATTTGCACAGAATTGTTAACGTGCTTGTAATTAAATATTTTACACATGTGCAAAGCATGTTATAATAACTGGAGCATAACTAGTTCCTTATTGCAGGGTAAATCAAAATGACAAACTGCAAGCAGTTTTGTACTGCAGAGCACAACCAACTAGCTCCAGTCCAAATTGTAGGCGCTCCAGACATTAGAGATTGCTATGTAATATGGGTATATAGTTATTCATCCATTTCCAATTTCTGAGATTGTTAAAGTATTTCACAGGATGAAGCCTGATGCTCACACTTAAAAACAGTTGACACCAGTGCTAATAAATGAATACAGTATGTTCCTTGGATATATATTTGGTTCCATTATATTTAATAAGATTTGTCCCTCAAGATTTCAGAATTTAATATATGCTTTACAAATTTTCTAAAATATCACCAATTTAATTAGAAGAATCTTATTATTCTTATTAACATATTTTATTCTTATTAACACATTAACCAATTATCAGCATCTTTAAATAATCAAATGATATAATAGCTTTTTATTCCTTTAAATATATGAATGTATAAAACAAGAGCCTAGACACCTTTTAATCCAAATTAATTTTTTTGACAACAGTATGTTATTCTTTAGTATATTTTTCCCCTGAAAAATTATTTTCTGCTTTTTCCTCCTTATCTTTTAGTTTTAGTTTTAGTTTCTATTTTTATTACTATTTTATTTTGGTTTTATATATTTGTATATATGTATTTATGGTTTTGTTTTGATGTTGTAAGCGGCCCAGCGTTGCCTTGCAGTGATATGAGTGGCAAAACAAACAAGCAAACAAACAAATAAAAAGGGAGAATTGGTTTTTATACATTTTTAATGATAGATGTTAAGAACTATAGCTAAATTAATCACCAGGAATTTGAGTAACTAATCAGCTGCCCAGAGTCATCTTATAGGGGAGATGGGCAGCATAAAAACTAAATAACTAAATAAAGCTGAAGTAAATTTACATATTATCCATACCAAAAATGATTTTCAGATTGCAAATCTTTCATAACACATGAACAGAATTAACCATAGTTCCACCTGGCAAACTGAGTATCCTAGATCAAGCCAAATCCAAAACTACCAAAAAATTCTTAAGTGCTATGGGACAGGTCCACTCCATCCATATCGCCAGAAACGGCATGCTCTGGATCTCGTCAGTCAAGGAATTCTGGCTGGTGGGATCCAGGAGAAGAGTCTTCTCAGCCACGGTGCCAACCCTTTCAAAAATCTTGCCCCCTGCGGTCCTTATTCGTTCAGAAGTACCTACAAAGCTAACTGAAAGATGCTTCCAGGTTGAAAGGATTTGCTGCAATAATACTGTTGCCTTTTCTATGGCATACAGTCTAATTTAGATCTCCTCCTCACTATTTCCTACTCTTGACTATCCAGTCATCAACCAAAAGTAGCACATTTTGCACTTATGTTCTGTCAATTTTTCCTTGAACTTCAGATAAATTGTTTCTCAATTGTTTCTTTTTATACATCAATAGTAGTGGCATAAACCTGAATAATCATAATTTTGTTTGCAAAATCTATTACTCAGTCACTGACTATTTTGTACCTACACTGTCTTTGCTATATCCTTCCCATGAAAGATTTTTCTTTGAATTTTTTTGTAATCTTCTGACTAACGGTATTCAATTTAAATCCTTTTCAATTTGATGATGCATAGGACACCAATATGTATTTAACTTATTTCATCTTTCACCCTGTTAGGTTTTCCTATGTACTTGCTTCTTACATTCAATATTTCAATTGTAACCTTTGCAGCTTTAGATAACATCAGCAACTAATAGTCTGGAAACAAATATAACCGTATCAAAAACACAATTAGCACTGTCAGAGAGTCTCAACTCTTTCTTAGTAGTACATTGAGTGCTATCTGACTCAAGGGGCCCTTTATCTAGCTATATATTGACAATCACTTCATCTTGTCTATCCACATGGCTTCCTTGAAAAATACAGGAGTAGTTTATTATTGCTTTCTCCAGTGCAATATGACATGATGCCATTGTCACTAAAATGATCATCCACCTTAGCACCTTTCTATATTTCTGCTGATTTTCATACTTTGGGTGTTCCTACTGAAAATATACAGTCTTAGCATACACTCCTGGTGTACTTCAGTTCTCCATTCAGAAACATCCTCCTGCTACAATGAGACATGTTTAAATACTTACTTATTAAATTTGAATCCATACTATGCTTCCTTATCTTTATTAGAGTCATTTTTTTTCATTTAATATCTGCCTGCTCTGAGATGAGTTAAGTCAGGGTGGTCCAACTTCACAGAGCATTAGTGCAAATAGCCTGATAATTAAAGATTTAGCAAACCAAGCTTTTCTAATTAATGCTGGGATTAGGAGAATGATATTTTAAGACTACCCATCTGCAGCAGTAAACATTCTACTATTTCATAGGGTGTTTTTAAATATATATATATATATATATTGTGCCTCTTAGCATCTTTTAAATCCTTAATAATCTCATGTACCACAACAGATATTATCATGAATGATTTATAACTGATTGATAAAATTTAAAAAACCTAAGTCTACAACCTCATTTAACACTTTTCTTTCTTATATTGAGAAACTACTATACAACTCCTTTATCAAGATCCAGACACACAGATTCTTTCAGAAAACATTACCATGCTCAGAGCCCCCACTTCCCTTCTCCAATCAGTGTCACTTCCGCTGAGCATCTGAAATTATTAGCCCTCCTCTGTCGCCCCTCTAGGTTTTTTTCATTTCAGTCTTATGTTCCTCAGTTCTCTCAGCCTCCCTTTCAACAACAGTCTCTCAAAACCCAATTCTCCAATTAACTCTATCTTTCACTGTGTGTTTTCACTATCTTTGTAGAAAGCTGTGAGAGACCTTGGGGCTAGATGACTAGAGCTTCTGAAAAATGCCAGCATCTATTACTTTTAAGGCATTATAATATTTCATTTAGTAATTGTTCTTAAAATGCAATTCATTGTGCATGATCAACTTATTTTACCAAGGGATATGATAGAAAGTAAAATATTTTTGTTCTTATCTTACACTGTAATTAAATTGGCAAAGATTTTCTGTTATTCTTGTGGCAATAGCCAAATAAAGCTATCTGTTTTGGTTTATTTCTTAGGAATTATAACTGCAAAGTAAGAAAACTGAACTATCTGGACTTCTCATATATTGGCTTATGCTGAGTCAAAGTTTGAGATCTTTTAACTGTAAATTAATTGGATTAATTGGATTAATGCAATTTGATAGCATTTTTTGGAAACATTGTTTTACACAATTCTACTGTTACTTGCATTTACAAGAATCAGAAAACTCTAGTAAAACACAGATAAAAGAAGTAAAATAATTAAGTAGCAGACTGTTTTAAGCAGACATGGAAAAAGTTCCTTCCCCTTAAAATAAGGGGACATGAGGTCCACAAAGTGATGCCCAAGAAAATCAACAAGCTGTCCTGTCATTTCCATCATTTAAAAGATGAAAAACAAAATTAGAGGAACAACTTTAGTCCTATATCCAGTCTTTAAAATTTTAAATGATTAGTGCCTGCAGATCAGTTTCTCTACTGATAAGAATATAATGAAGGTGGTGGAGAATGGTAGGTAGATATTTACCAATCTACCTCTTAGTACATAGATGTGAAATGTCCTGGGGAATGCTAGGGGTTCCTCAGCCTGCTGTGCTCCACCCAACTGAGTTCCAACAATTATAGAAATTTTGCAAAATTTTATTCTGTACTGGATAATTGATGCTTGGGAATAGATTCCAAACCAATCAAGTAGTCCATTTCAAGGTTAGTTCCTTTTATACAGTCCTTACAAAGACATCCTTTTAAAGGAATACATTATCATTAGGTCTTGGAACTCTTACTGCTCCTCCATTCCTAATACTGCTCTTTCGTTCTCTCTATAGGAATTAATAGGAATCTGCAGTTAGATTGTTTTCTGTTTATCTCTATCCCATGGAAATTGTCCTATTGGTCTGACATTTTATGTCCTTTTGGTTAGCAATTTTATTTCCATATATTTTTATTGCCTATCACCTTTTTATAATTCTAATCTACTATTTGTTGTTGTTTCTCTGAGATTATTGTCTCCCCCCACCCCCCTTTCTCACTTATAAACTAGCTGCATCAAGGCTGGGAAAACCTCCTGTCTTAAATGTAGCTAAATATTATCTTATCATTATGATCAGACAAGTCATAATGGTAGCCATTTTCTGAATGCATAAATCATTCTCATAGCAGCCATTTTACAAAACTGACCACAGCATGCTCATAATATGTCAAATACATCCACTGGCCTCTGTCCTAGTTTATGATGATATGCATGACCTCTCACCATCAGAGCCAAGCACTACCTCCAGGATCAGATACATCATGAGCACAGGTTAGTGGGAAAAACAATCAAAGTATTATACTGTATTCATTCCTGATTTCATAAGCATCTGTTTGGCCCCTGTACAAGCAGACTAAATTGTCTTTATTATTTAAGCAGGACTCTTTTGTTCCTAAGTCACAAAATGGCTAGAGAGAAAATGTGTAAATAACCTACATATATGCAGAGAATTACAATGTTTTAATGAATCAGCATTAACATGAATTCTCCTTAAAATTTCTAACACAGCTAGTTTCTTTCGCTTGCAATTTTTTCGTCAAAATCTGAACTACGATCTTGGCTGCACTGATAATATTTAACACGTGAAATCATAAAAACATCCTAAGCTCCACGGCTAATTAAAAGGAAAAAAAGAAAGAACATGGTGATCTTTTCTGTACTTGTACATTTCGCATAAACTGTGAAGCTGAACATCTTGTTATCACAGCCAGAATATGGTTATATGCTGAAGAGAGGAAAAATCAAAGAGGGTGTGTGTGTGAGGGGAGACAAGAATAATGAATTGGAAGCATCAGAAAAGCCAATATGCATTTTAAACTCCTGTCCCCACTTTAATACAGTGTAACACATACACTGTACTTCAGGCCCTATAAGATTGTCTTCAACTTGATCCAGCCCACAACTAAATCAGTCTTAAATTGTCTTTAGATGTATTGGCTTTAAAGTAATTATTTCAACCAAAAGCTGAAGTTATCTCACTAAGGCTTCAAGATATACAAACTCTATTATGCTTGCCATCTAATCCAACTAATCCAACTATTGTGAGTTTAATCAGAGGTTTCTTTTAAGAATGCTTGGAAGTACAAACAACCCCTCCATTGCTAGCCAGCTTCAACTACAGCTATTTTATCTCTTACCATCTGCCTTTTCTTTCCCAAATTCTTTGTATACCCATCACCTTTTCACTTCAATATTTTTTGATCCCAACTTCTCTTCAAGTTTCAACTGTTATTTGCATCAAAGACCTTTGAGCTGTTTCTTGAAGAATTGGGGGAAAGTCCATAGCTCATTTGTCAGGAAGCACTTGGAATTGGAATATTGAGTATTCAAGAAAACTGACCAATAACCTCTTATCTTATGTATACAAAACTTAGTTTTTTTTAAATTTTCCTCTTTATATATTCATACCCTGCAATTCCTGTTTTGCATGCACACAATAGTCAATGATATGCAAATTTATGCTATTTCTCTGTTGCTTCTTCAAAGATTTTTTGATGGTATTATTTCTCTAGATTATGATATCAAAGCAACTAAATTAAAGTTTAAAAATCAGACAGCAACCTAACATACTCCAGGAAAAAAAAAGAATTAGAAATAAGTTTTTCACTGCAAATCAAGGTTAGAAAGGCAATCCAAGGAATTATTCATAATATAATCTTACTTTACAAACATATTTTAAGGACTGCTAAAGAATAAAGTGCTCTGTGTATTCTGAACTTTTATTGCTTATGGAATAGTAAATCTTCTCTATCATCACAAGTTTATTTTAGAATCTGATTTGTAACTGAGTTATGACAAACAAAATGGCTGTTCGTGTAATATATTAGGCCATGGTTTACAGAATGAACTATGGTGGCTTCATTATATATGAAGCAAATTATAAAGCATGTTTTATAAATTATAATTGCCTGATTCATGCATTATATTAAGCTATAGTACATTTCAGTACTAGAAATAACATAGCTTATATTACGCTTGTTTCTTTAAGCAGTGAATAGTGGCTTCTAAATTGTAGCTCAAACTATGACTTATTAACATGAATTCATCTGGAAATTATACCTGATGCAAGCTAAATCTAGCAAAACAACTAAAGCATGCTTGCCCCTGAATAACATTAATAGACATATTAACTTGAAAAGCAAGAATGGCTAGTAAATTCCAACCTTTCTGTTTTTGATTCACTAGCTGCTGTGCATTGTTCAAAATCTTGACTTAGACTTTGTAGTTTTTCTTGCAGTATTTTCTCCCGTTCCATACTACCCTCAAAAAACTTCATCTTCTTTTCCATTGCTTTTACTTTCTCATCCAGTAGCTTAAATTCATGAAGGATCAAATAACTGACTCCACAATATTTACACATTGTTTCATCTTGGGACATCTAAAAAAAATAAGCAACATGTACAGTGAAAAAAAAACTGGTCCTTTAAAAAAATTAATAACAGCAACTTTTTATATGGAGTCGGAATAATGTTCACATAGCACATTATTCCAGTGGTGGACAACCAATGTTCCAGCACTGAGTCTGAAGTTAGAATTCTATAAGTCCTTATCATTACCTATGCCGGATGGAATTTCTAACGTGTAGTTCAACGTACCTGAAAGTACAAAATAACCTACCCTTGAATTATTCACACAATCATTTTTACCATTCTCCATGGAAATTTAGACAAAATTTACATTCTCCAAATGGGCCAAATGGATATAAGGTCCTTAAGGGCAAAATGAAAATCAGAGATATTTACTCTGACATAGTGGAATATTTATGATTTTCAAAAAAGTAGCTAAGTTAAGACCTGTATAGAAATAGTTACCTGTTCTTGATAGCAAAGAATATTTATGCAGAAATCTGTTCTTGATAAAATTAAATGAGTTTGTAGGCCTATTCTATTATTTTTATTACAAACTATGATAGTCTACAGTTTAGTGGCGGTATTAACAAGAATGCTGATGAGCAAATTCTACATTGAATACATAATCTAGTCTTCTCTCTACACTTGTGAGTTGTCATAAAAAACAGGCAAAAAAAAAATAGAACTACAGAGACATTCCTAGAGTAAGGGGACAGAAACAAATCTGTAATCCTGGCTAAAGGTAATCAGAAATTATAGAATTTTTTTCTATCAATTCTTCATTAAAGGATGAAATAGTTTCATTTGATGACTCAGAATTATTTATTAAACATCCTATACCATGACTCCTCTCAGTAACTGTAACTCAAAACTTAAAAATAATTTCCAATAAAAAAAAACTGCTATAACCCCCGGCTTGAAAATGTGTTATCCTTAAAATGAGCAGATTATACTGTTTGGAGAAAACATCACATGATGAAAAGCCACACAGTCATGAGTCACAGAGAATCTATGAAACTTGGTTGATGTGAGATTATTAATCTTCTTAAACAAGATATATTTGAGGAAACAAATACATGTTTAAATGAACCTGAATTGCATTGCAGAAAAAGAGGCAGACTTCATTCACAAGTTTGTCAATTTCATACACAGTGCCCATTTTGTTAATTCCCAAATCACAAATGCTTTGACTATTCCTACTTGGGAGCATGTACAATAAAAATAAGTTGAAATATTAATGAAGCACACAGGACTAATGCTAAGAATATCTGTGTCATAGTCAGGGGTGGGTTCTACTTACCTTTACTACCAGTTCGCAATGGGGCCACATGCACAGAAGCGTTTTCATGATGTCAGGTCAGTGGGCAGGACCTCCCACCGGTTTTATTACCAGTTCTATAGAACCGGTGCGAACCAGGGGCAACCCACCACTAGTCATAGTTCTTGAGAACCAAGGACAGAAACCAAGCAGAGAAACAGACATAATTTGTTATAATTGCCAAGAAGTTCCATTTGGGTTGTCGTTTTCTTGCAATTTACTCTAAACAAACAAACAAGCAAACAAATGCAGAGAGCCAAAAGCAACTCAGGGAAGTAATAGGAAGAATTACAGTGAATGAAAATTAAATCCCAAAAACCAAAACAAAACCCAATTACAATGAGAAAGTATTGGCCCATACAACACAAAAAATTAAACCAACATTTCCCAAACTTTTAAGAACGTTTTTGCAAATTATAGAATGGTTAAAACGGTCTAAAGAGGAGTGTTACAACTGCCTTGCAAAATGCTAAAGTTAAGCAAGGTATAGCTGTGATCATTAGAAAATCCCATGTATGGCAATTTGAATTACACAATGGAATGAAAGTGACACAGAAACCTATAAAATAACCTACATGAAAAAGGTAAATTTAAATACTGTATTCTTAAAAGAAACTCAACTGTGCTATTAGATTAAATCCTGTTAGTGAGATTCTTCTGGAAATTTATAAACATAATGTAACTGTGGTCCTCTTCATATATTTTTCCACATGGACAGGTTGATATGAATACTGGCTTGGTTATGATATGCCAATTTGAGGGTGCAGACTTTCTTGAATCCTACATCTCAATATGACAAAGACCCTTGATGAGGGATGGAGATGCTCCCATTGGACATAGAGGGACTTGGGGCCTGAGTGTATGTTTTTCACTTTAAGATTCACTTCTTAAAGTTGGTAATGATAACTGCTTTTTTGTCCAGCATCTGGCAAAGAAAGGTAATTTTCCTCTGAACTAAATTCTTTTGAGAATTCTTCAGATTCTTCTGAGCTAAAGTGAGTTATATAATAAAATCATGGTAGTGAGCTTCTGCTGCCAAATGTGACTCCTCATTTAAAGTTTAATTCAAATTGTAATCAGTTAAGTAAAGGGCAGTATGAGATATATAGTATAGAGGTGATAGAAAAAGCTATCTAAAATGGACAAAAAAAGTCCAGTTATTAGATGTCAGGCATAACACATAGGATAGCAACAGAAAAAAGTAAGATTCAAGTAGGAGCCAAGGAGAGCCTTCTACAAAACAATCCAACTTGAGTTTATGTATTGTTTGCATAGCTGTCTTTTTTCTAACATGAAGAGCAGCAGCATAGCAATGCAAGTATTTTAAATAAACATATTTGTCTCTTTTGCTCTGAATTTTATCTTCCCAACAACTCTCTTGTCTCCTAAAGAAAGGATATATAGACTAAAACACAATATTAAATCCTGTCATCCAATGAGCTTCATGTCTATTTCAAGCACCTGCAGCTAAATTTCCCCACTTCTAGTTCAATACTGTAATCAATGCTGGCAGTTCTATGCCATATTCTTTTAAAATAACCAGTAGGCATTACAGGGTAATCTAATCTATCTAACAAACTCACTATACAACATATTAAGACACTGATGATTTACTAAAGTGAAAAAATTGTATTTGCTTTCCTTCAAAACATATTAAAAGTGCTTCTCATCAACTTATCAAAATGTATATAAAAGAAAATATAGTCAATATGATCTATTGCATTTTCTTGAACAAATAAACATGTTTATTGTACTACAATTGTGTAAATGTTATATTATACTGAAGATTTTAAACTATGAGAAGAGTAGGACAAAATAACAAAAAATGGGAATGGATATTATGGATATTAAATAACAATCCTTCTTGAGAAAAAGAGATCAGAGATATTCAAATACTACCAAAAGATAAAAAGGGGGGGAAATAAAGTTGTTTTGAAAAAGACAAATAATGAACACTTTTGTTGTTAATTGTGAAGTCGTGTCCGACCCATCGCGACCCCATGGACAACGTTCCTCCAGGCCTTCCTGTCCTCTACCATCCCTCAGAGACCATTTAAACTCTCGCCTACTGCTTCAGTGACTCCATCCAGCCACCTCCTTCTCTGTCGTCCCGTTCTTCTTTTGCCCTCAATCTTTTCCAGCATTAGGCTCTTCTCCAGTGAGTCCTTCCTTCTCATTAGGTAGCCAAAGTATTTTGAGTTTCATCTTCCGGATCTGGCCTTCTAAAGAGCAGTCAGGGTTGATCTCCTCTAGGACTGACTGGTTTGATCACCTTGCAGTCCAAGGGACTCACAGGAGTCTTCTCCCGCACCATAGTTCAAAGGCTTCAATTCTTTGGCGCTCAGCCTTTCTTATGGTCCAACTTTCACAGCCATACACTGCAACTGGGAAAACCATAGTCTTGACTATACGCACTTTTGTTGGCAGGATGATGTCTCTGCTTTTTAGTATGCTATCTAGATTTGCCATAGCTTTCCTCCCCAGGAGTAAGCGTCTTTTAATTTCTTGGCTGCAGTCCCCATCTGTGGTGATCTTGGACCCCAGGAAAATAAAATCTGTCACTACCTCCATTTCTTTCCCATCTATTTGCCAGGATAATGTACACTAATCATGTTTATTTATGAGACAAGCCATAATCTAACTAATTAGCATGTCTCACATGATATTCTAACTATTTTCTAATAAAAGTATGTACCTAATAAATCCATGTACCTGGATACAGGTTGCTATGCTTGCCTTTATTTCTCCTAACTCTTCTTTGTTTCATGAAGCCTGATCATAGTTACAGTGGCTCTGAAGGAAATGAAAAATTAATTCTATTTTTCCTGGCAGTAACAACCTGTGCCCAGAAATATGAAACTATCATTCAGAATAAATACCATAAGGTTCCAAAGTACTAAAATTACTTAATGAAAGAGGACAAACTGAGCTGTAACATGAAGGAAAAGGAGAGACTGTTATCCTAAAAAGAACACTGTGATTTCTTGCAGCATCACCACTTTTGTATTTCAAAATAAACAATTTCAGACATTCCAATGTATGTATCCACTTTCAGCAAGACACCGGACTGAATGGGGAGAAGGTTGGGCTAGCAGCAATTCTATTTTGAACCTATATAAATAATCTGAAAATATTAAATTCAATCCTGAGTAAGATACATTTTGTGTTACCAACCAGAGTAACTTTCAGCTAAGAAATAGAACCATGTGCTCATCTGTATTTCTTTCAAGAACTTGTTTTGCCTTCTCTGGATACTCATAAACTCACATAAAGCAAATGATATAGAATAATTGGAATACATTATTATCAAGATATTTTCCCATATCTATTGTATCATACCGAAGCAAAAGTGTATCACTGCGCTATATTGAACATAATATAATTTGAAATGCTACAAAATGCTTTTTTAAAATATAACACTTTGCCCTAGCATTTCATTCTAGCTTCTTATGATTTCTGAATAAAACTCAGTAACAGCATAGATAGACCCTTAGCTACATCACACACTAAACAGTCCAGTTTTGTCAGTGAACTGTCCATAGAACAGTGCAGGAATCATGGCTACTTGACAAGTATCAGTATGATGCAAAGTGTCTATCTCATTGCCACATTATAGGAGATGAAAATATATACAGATCTGCAGAATCAAGGACAATGTGATTATTTTGATGATCTTCCACCTTGATTTTTTAAAATAATGCTTCCTTTTCCAAGTATTAAAATGTATCTCAATTGATTTCTTTCCTATCATCAATACATATCAATAAGTTTACATTATTTGTCCATTTTCCTGCCTCTCTAACCAAAATAGGCTTACATGAGATGATAACTATTATTCAAGTTAAATAAAAATGCAATTATGGAAATATGACTGACCTAAGGAAACACGGAACAGGAACCAGGGAGTGATTTCTTTAATTGCTGCACACCTGACAATTGGTAAGTCAGAAGTATGCGGTTGCTGTACAAGATGTCATTTTGGTACCATGATAAATTACCATGAGTGATAAATGTTAATAGGCCAATTCTTTAGAATAGTAATATATTCAATATAATTTAAAACCACTGCAGTCCATTATATTATGTATTTTACAACCTATTGTACTTATACTTTTATTCTATAAATTCTATTTTCAGAAATCTATGTTGGCTTCCTCTGTACTTTAGATAAATGTTTATTTAGAATGGATTATATTATAAAAAAGAGAACCACTGTGATATAGTGTTTAAGTTGCTAGGAGCACAGAGATCCAGATTCTAATCCTCTCTTACAAACAGAAACTATTTAGGTGACTTTGTATCAATCACCAGTAGTAATAAGAAAGAAAGAAAGCAGTGCATTGACAAGTAAAGAGCATCCAAGGATAACAACAAGAATAATAAAATAATACAGGCAACAGAGAAAGAAGACTGTGTCTTTTGCTCTTATGAGTATCAAATGCATAGAAGTTTAATAAATAAAGAAAAAATAAAATTAATGGACAGTCAAGTGGGGGAGTCATAAGAAACCAAAGAAATATATCTATCTACATGAAACAATGGTACAATAAAGAACAATACTAAAAACATCACATCATTTAATACAATCCTTTATGTAGATTATATTGTGTATGGAGGAAGAAGATTATCAAACCTTTGTTACAATCTAAATTCTATAAACCAGGGCTAACTTCAGAGACCTTGTGGCACTTAGCCTTGTAACTGCTGTTGATTCTATCACACTGTCACTATTGACTATACATTTACTTAGAAATAAAATTGCACTCCCTGAGTTTAGGATTTCATATAAAAGCACTATTGGGTCAATTAACCATTGTGAGCCATTTTTTTTCAAAGAGATGCAGAAATAGGGAACATAATTAAATATTATAAAGTCAAAAGCAGTCAAAGTTGCTCCTCTTCAAATATATAGCTTGCATATTTTGGCTGTTATTTTTGCCATTACTTATTCTCTAAGAATGTTATTTTCCTTTTTTTTTTTTTTTTAATTATTCTCTACATTCAGCCACCTTATCTATTTGGACAACAATACTATATTTAAACTAAGTCCCATTCAAATGAAAGATAAATCTGAGTTCAAAGGAATGTTATTCACTAGTTAAGAATGCATGTGATTTGAGATTTAATTGTCTGCTCTGAGTTATCGAATAGGTTATTGTGAAAGACTTTTCAAAAACTTAGTAATGGAATCATGCCAAACAGAGTGTCATGCTCTGTATATAGATAAATCTGATGGAACATCTGACAGACCCTGGGAAAGCAGAGGAAGAAACATGATTGTGGCATCTCAGCTCAAGGGAAGGGGAAAGCAAGAGACTGAGAGTAACTTCACCTCAATTATGCTAGATATAAGTTCAGTTTATATTTAGGTTTTCAAGATTTTGCTATATCCTCCCCCCCAAGCAATAACAATCTGTCCAAATACCCAAATGATTCTTGTTTTTTCAGTTTCCCATTTGATTGTATTTACTGCATGATAACATTTAAACTTATCATATGAATAGCACTTTCAGGATTCATTCAATAAATATGTATGTTGTGTTATTAATGTGCTAGAGTAACAAAAAATACAAAATCATTAACACTTTTCTGAGTAATACTTGATCAGGTTGAAGAAATCACATACATGACATGGTAGTAAAAGTGTAGTTGAGATTTCCATTTGGGAAAAGTCTAAAAGCACATACCTCATTACAATTAATGGTGTGGAAATGAATTTCCCAGATTGTACATGGCAAACAAGGAGGAATTGGAAGCAATGGAACCAGACCCAATTCTGTCAAACCCAATTGCCTATCCTTTTTCAGGACCTAATGCTGTTGGAAACTCACAGCCATGAATGTGGTGCAACTTTCCACCAGTATAAATAGTATAAATAGACCTTCCAAAGCTGACACTTCTTCCCTAAACTAGCAGTGATGGGAGATAAGCATCCAAAAGATTAGAATTTCTCTGTTTATATCTGTATAACATGTGAACATAATGTACTCTGACATCAATTCTATTAATTAACTGTAGTTTTTAATGCAATTAGTTAATATAATAAAAATCATGGCACACTATGTTCATTGAGTCAGCTTTCCATCTTTCCGAGACAGGTAAAACGAGGACTTAGACTCCTGGGGGCAATATGTTAACTCTGTAAACCGCTTAGACAGTTGTAAAGCACTGTGAAGCAGTATATGTCTCAAGTGCTATTGCTAAGTGCTATATGCTTTTATCAACGAAGCTTCTCAGTTATAGGCCCAATATTTATGTTTATTTATTTTATTTATGTTCACATGCTTGTGAAGAAGGCACAGAAGAGGCTGTACTTCCTGAGAATGCTCAGGAAGATAAATCTATCTCAGCATCTACTTCTGTCCTACTATCACAGCACCATTGAGAGTTTTCTGACATATGGCATTCTTGCATGGTATGGGAGCAGTTCTGTAGCGGACAAAAAAGCTTTACAGAGAATCATTAAAATTGCCCAGAATATCATCGAGCTCCAGCTTCCAGCCCTCAACGACCTCTTCGAATCTCGCTGTTTGAGGAAGTTGCATAACATTCTCAAAGACTCTCCCCATCCGGCTTACAATCTTTTTGGACTGTTGCCTTCTGGCAGAAGATACAGAACAATTAAAACTCGGACCACACATTTTCTGAACAGTTTTGTCCCAGAGTACTCAACAATGAACTAAAGGGCCACCATCAGTGAGCTGTTGGACAGCATTACTTGGTCTGTTGTGTAGATGCTTGGGTGGTTTAGGGGTGGGGAATTTGTGGTGGGTGGGGGTGTGTTTGGGGATTGTTATGTGTGTTGGACCTGATCTTTGGGTGTTAAGTGAATTTCGTTGTATGGGTATACTGTGTATACACGTACAATGACAATAAAATTGTTGTTGTTGTTGTTGTTGTTATTAACAAGAATAATAATTAACATTATTATTATTATTATTATTATTATTATTATTATTATTATTATTTTCCACAAAATCTGTTGCAGTCTGTGTTTCATTCTGTGATCTGAAACTTTTGAATGTTTTCTGAAAAAAACTTCACACTCTAAAAAAAATCATTGCTGTAATTTTATGGACACAACACCTATTCTACCCTTCTGTATAGCCAACCTCCCAGAGTTATCAAGCCCTTTAAATTCATATTTTTCTTAGTGGAAGTTATATCTGTCTGTTTCCAAATTCCTCCCCTCCCAAGATTTTTCATTTTTTGTGTGCATGTGTGTATATGCATGTAAATTTTTTATATAGGAAAAGAAAATCATTTTTCTTCAAAAAACAACTTTTTCAAGAATAGCAGAATGCACATGAGAAAAAAACATACTAATATTAAAGTTAAGTAGAAAGAAGGAAAACATTAAACAGGAATATAGATAAAATTGTGGCTTGATAATAGCTGCAAACCCCAAACCCAATGATTTTTTTCTTGCAAAATCATACCTTTCTTATTTCTTCTGGCAAAGGATACACAGGAATATGTCGATCCATTTCTTTCTATATTTTTTAAAGAATTATCAGAGGACTGTCACAAAGCCTATTAACAAATAAACACACAAAATAAAAATGAATTAGGGGATTCTAGAATACTGAAGTTCTTTCTTCTGTCCATGTGATAAACCAGAAAAAAAAATCTTCTCATTATCTGCAGGGTTAAATGCCACATTTGTTTTCCTTCCTGAAGATGGTAAGAATTACACATGCTACAAACATAGGCTGACTGTTACAACTGCAAAAGGAATAAAGGTGGTAGAGACATAATGGTCTATCTCCAGACTATCAGAGAAGGTAGGGATTTCTTAAATTGAACACAGAAAGTATTTCCTGTGGGAGAAGGGTACCAAGAACTATCCTAAAGATACAAGAAAGCCAGGCAGACAAAGCACACTTTTTTTTTTTTTTTTTTACAAGTTAGGGATCCAATGTTCCCTCATGACTCTTAGATTAGTAGGTTGGCTTCTGGAACCTTGAATTCATTAATGTTAATATCTTTATTTACCTGAATTGCCATTCCCTCCTTATGTCAATGGTTCTGCTTGGGTCAATTAGAACACAGGTCCTACTCAAGGATAATAAACTAAACTAGAAACTGTGAAGCTCTTCTCTTTCTTGCTTCATATATTACTATCCTAACATTTTTTGCAAGTAACATGCCCATCATTTTCTGCCTTGGATCCTCTTTCTTTGTTCTTGGGGAAATCATGAAGAATGTGCAGAAGACTGAAGAAAAGCAAAGGGTTTTTTTTATCCCTTGCCTTTACAAGTAACTTTTCTCAAACAGGAGCAAAAGGACCATGTTAACTACAGACCAGTCACCCTGCTTGAACTTTGAAACAGATTATTTAAACAGTTAGTCAGCATTTTAAAAAAGAACATATTGCTTTGCAAGGTTTATAAAGAGCATGCTGCGACAAACCAATCTGAACTCTTTTTCTGATATAACAACTTGTTTAGTTTAATATGGGAATGTACTGAACACAGTATACCTGGCTTAAGCATGAAATTATGTTTGGTCCTAATGATGAAGCCTCGCAGGTCCAGCCAAAGAGCTATCAAGTTTTTTTCCCCATAAAGCTGAAACACGCCCTTTCCTTTTACAGAGACTCGGCCTTTGGCCATTCTGTTTTAAAAGATCTCGGAGTAGAAGAAGCGGGGAAGAATTCCCCCCGTGGAAACCTTTAACAGTCACGGGTGGGCTCAAAGGTGCTTTTTCAAAAGGCAAGTGTACTGTTTTTGTTTTGTTTTTTCCCTTGAGGAAAAAGACAGTAAGACAGCCCAGTTGCTTTTTTTTTGGGGGGGGGGGCAACTTTGAGAGACAAGGATGACACGGGTGACCGAGCATCTCCACAGACAGTCACGGGTGGAGAAATAATGACCTGACTCAAGTCAGGGTTCAAAGGCGCGCAAGGGAGCCAGATACATCGCGGCCTCGTATATTCAGCCCGGGGGGTGTTGGCGGGTTTAGAGCGCGGGGTGAAAGGCAACGGACACCAGCGGGAAAAGGACCCACGCGAACTCACCCCCAAAAGCAAAACACCGCGGGCAGCCACGACAGCCGCGCAGTGTTGTCAACGCCCCACCCAGGAGTCTCTCCGCTTCTTCGTTTCCATAGCAACCAACTAAGCATGCCCGGCGAAATCCCGGAAGTAGGGCAGACGCGAAGATCGGAAGTTATTTCTTCTGAGCTCGGCGTTTCTCTTCCGGGTTCTTTCCCGGGACGGCTCAATTCAGGCATTTGTACGGTAGAACAGGGGTCTCTAACCTTGGCAACTTTAAGACTTGTGGACTTCAACTCCCAGAATTCCTCAGCCAACTTTGCTCAGCCAGCATAAAATAATTCTATATTGCACATGACTTCCTTTGGAATTCAAATCTGGCCAGCAGACTTTGAATAGGAATATATGTGCAGGAGTGTAAAACGAATGGAACTTTTAATTCAGAAGAAAACAATAAAAATTATAAGACTGAATCTCTTTATTAAAAAGAAACAAATAGTACTGGGGATACTTTCTGACCCTCATATAACTTCTTCATGCTGTCCTTGACATTGAATTGTGTGGTTGAACTATCGAAGAGGAAACGGTCATTAGGCCATTCAATCCAATCCCTTGTTTAAAGCAACAATATAACTGTCCAGAGAGTTAAAGTATAATTGTTTATACTTTCAGAAAGTGACAGTAAAGTCAATTTTTTCAGGATGAAATTATATTGCACAGTTTCTATTTTAATTATACATAAAATATATTGGCAATTTATGTTATGCTTAAATAAAATGAAAACTCTTTTATAACCATTATATCCTCACATAGTTGATTTATGGCACAGAGAAATGAGGTCCTTTCAGCCTTCAAAGACAGTATAACAATTTTACTAGATACAGGTAGTCCTCAATTTACGACCACAATTGAGCCCAAAATTTATGTTGCTAAGTGAGAAATTTGTTAAGTGAGTTTTTCCCCATTTTACGACATTTCTTGTCACGTTTGTTAAATGAATCGTTGCAGTTGTCAAATTAGGAACGGTTGTTAAGTGAATCAGGTTTCCCCATTGATTTTGCTTGTCAGATAGTTGCAAAAGGGGATCACATGACTTCGGGACACTGCAATGGTCATAAATGTGAACCACTTGTCAAGCATTCGAATATAAATCATGTGACCATGGGGATGCTGCAGTGGTCATAAGTGTGAAAAACAGTCATAAGTCATTTTTCAGTGCCATTGTAACATTGAACGGTCACTAAGTGAACTGTTGTAAGTCGAGGATTATTTGTAGTGTGACTATATTCATTATATGTGGTGAAAATGTGTGTCTCATTTGGTTTTGCTCTGTAAATGATGGTATTCAGCTCTGAGAATAGCTTTAAAATATTGCTAAGTATCTCTGCAAATTGACATGTCAACTTGCATATACTTTCAGATGTAGGGTAAACATCTTGTTGCCTTCCACATGTTGTTGAAGAACACCCAACATTGTCATCCTTGGGCCTTTTGACTGGGTTGATGAGAGTTGTAGCTAAACATTTAGAAGGCCAAGTATTGTTCACCCTTAGTGTGTAGTGCATGATTAATAATACTGATTCTGCCCTGAACTACTTTAATTGGTAGAAGTCAATTGTCTAGTAAAAAAACAAAACGGCTCCCATAAAGCTGCTCACGATTGCTGCAGACCATGTTTGCCTTATCCACAATGTATTTGGAGGTAATAATTGATTGTAAAGAACTTTTTTTTTTCAGGAACTGCATGCACTTACTTTTTTTTTTGTTCTATTTAAGAGCTTCAGATAAGCCTTCAAAGAACATTCCTTTTCCCTCAATTTGCAATTTTAAAAAACCGTTTTGGGGTGTTGTGTCATGAGGCATTGCAAAGTAAATACCAGTAATATTTAATTTGCACATAAGCTATGCTCCACATAAGCCACAATTGGCTGAGTTCATGTAGCATATTATGAACCAGAATTTACAAGACTATGTCTGGGCTGACACAAATGTGCTAAGCCAGAAACAAGGTGCAGCATAACGAAAAGTGTAAATCCATTCTAGCTAGAGCTCTTGCATTCCTTAATATGAAAGTGCTTATCTAAGGGGGCTTACCAACATTGTAAAACCAAGCATCTTCTTTTTGGAGAGTTCTAATTATTGACTCACCTCGTGGCTGTGGCACCGAGAGGCCCGCGGGGCAGGAGCTTGCTGCTGGCCCACTTCTTCTGTGATCCAGAGCTCTCTTATTGGCTTCCGGCAGGCATCTGAAAGCGAAATGGAGGCCAGGGCGATGCGTGCGAGTGGCAGCAAGCAGCCGCAGAAGGCGAGGCAGGTGTCGGGGTATGCGAGGCCTAGGTAAGTAGGGCAGCTCCACCGCCCCATCCCCATCCTAGCTTATTTTTTACCTGTGTGCCTTGCCCCACCCCCTGCACCCCAGGGTGGGCGGGGTCTTAATTAGGGCTAATTTTGTGGGTGGGGCTTAATTTGATTGCATGTGCTCAAAAACGTGATAGGACTTCTTTTCAAGATGGGTCGTCTTTTTGGAGAAACACAGTAGTCCTCAATTTACAATTACAACTGAGCCCAAAATTTCTGTTGCTGAAACAGTTATTAAGTGAGGTTTGGCCCATTTTAACAAGCATTCTTGCCACAGTTGTTAAGTGAATCACTGCAGCTAAGTTAGTTATACAATTATTAAGTGAATCTGGCTTCTCCATTGACTTTGCTTGTCAGAAGGCCATAAAAGGTGACCACATGCCCACGGGAAACGTCATAAATACAAATCAGTTGCCAGGCGTCTGAATTTTGATCACATGACCATGGGGATGCCATAATGGTCGTAAGTGAAAAATGGTCGTAAGTCACTTTTTTCAGTGCCGTTCTAACTTTGAATGGTCACTAAATAAATTGTAGTAAATCGAGGACTAATTGTAGTTGTTCCAAAAAAGGCCTTCAGGTTGGGGTCCCTTTTTATTCTTCATAGTAGCCATCCCCAGTCACAATCCCCAGTTGCTCAGATGCCATTCAAGCACTGAATTGCAATGAACCAAAAAGCCATCGAATGAGAATGAAGCCTAATTATAACATTTTTATTTATTTTTTTACTTTTGTTAACTTTTGGGTCAGGCATGCTGTCATCTCTCCTGGTTTTCAGGATATTCTGTGCAGTCTAATAAGACTGTAATGTCCCGGTATGTACTTTTGGAATCCACAGCGTCTGCCATGTCTCCATTTAAAATTGGTGATCTGGGCTTTGAGCAGGCACAGCGTTTTCAGTTACAATAGGAGGAAAGGCCAGGAAAAAGAGGCATCACCTGATTATTTGAGGTTACTGAAATCAACACGCAAGCCTGATTTCACTAGAACTCTGTGACCCAGGAGCTGTCTGTTACAGCTAGCTCAGTGCCTCTAAACTAGGACATCTGTTTACCCTGTACTTGAACTGCTTTTGCTCATCCAGCCCTGGCTGAAAGCTCACTCAGAACAAAATACAACACAGAGGATAATCCTGAGAATAAGCATTTCTGTTGTGACTCCTTCCCATGGAATTAACCCCCCCCTCCCCCATGATTATGCTTTTCTTTCATCTGAGTGATGAGTCTTTACTATCCTACCAAGGATAAGACTTGATGACATCCTGTTTTTTTGTTCAAGCCCGCCTTGCTCTTACAGCACCCTTTTAAACAGAACTGTTTTGTTGACAAAAGAGATGAAGTTGTCATAGATTTCGGTGAAAAAAACCTCAACTGGCTTGCCCCCCACCCAACAACTTTCATGGGCAAAGAACTGGGCATGTGGTTCAGTCTTTCTTTATAAACACCATCATAATGGTTCAGATAGAAATGTAGGTCAATTGATTTCTATAATCTTAAGGAATGGGAGCTCAGTCTGTGAACTGATTTCAAATGCACACAGTGCATTTCAATCAGATGATATGAAAATGCTGCCCCTGGTATATTAGAAATAGCGTGAATGTCCCACCTAGAGTTGGAAATCACGCTGATAGTCAGTGTAGATAGCATTGATATACTCCATGGACCAATGGCCTGATTTAGTAGCTGGATTTGCACACTGTGCTAAGTGGATTAGTTTGGATTTCACTTTGCATATTATGCTAACTCAGCCACTGTGATTTGTGACCTTGGTCTAAGGCTTTATCCAGTTGCGGTTGTCAATAACCCATGGTTAAACGAATCGGTTTGGCAGATCTACTCAGAACAAAGCAAGTTGCACTGTTCCTGTAAGCCTACTTCTGTAAAATAATTCCACAATGAATACAGTGATTGTAATAATTTTTTACAATGTTCAGTTCATAATTTATTAGAGATAAAGTCTGTTGCTGATTTTCTTATTTTTAAAAACTGATTATATAAAACAACTCTTGATCAAACATCTGCTCCATTCAGAATTGCAAAAAGCCTTCAGGGAAATTAAATATTTCACAGGGACTATATAATGCTGTTCTCAATACACAACACATGAGCACACTATTTTATTAGCCCTGTGTAGGACGTAGAAAGAGAAGTCTCTGCTGAATAGTCATATGTTCTAAAACATAGTGGGAAAAAAAATATCGTGTCCCAATTTTTCTAAATCATGACTCTAATATAAATACTTTAAAATGTAAGAGAAAGCCCTCTGGATTTATTTATTTTCTATTCTGTCTTCTTCAAGAAACTGAGCCATGATTTCCCCCTCCTATCTCATCTCCCTTCTTCCATTCTCTCACTACAGTAACTCTATGAGGCTATGACAGTGATGGCTAACCTTTTTGCCATTGCATGCCAAAAGCAGGGGTCACGCGTGCCCGTACCCACACCACCCCCCCACGCATACACGCACACACACACCTGTGTTCTCCCCATTTTTGGCATATGATGGCACAGTGGGCCCATTTTTTGCCCTTCCCAGACTCCTGAGGCTTTCTAGGAGCCTGGGGAGGGCGAAAACGGCCTTCCCTACCCCCTTGGAGGCCCTCCGGAGGCCGAAAACAGCCCATTTGCCAACTTCCAGTGGGCCCAGAAGATCCGAAAATCAGTTGGCATGCGCGCACATGTGTGCTGCAGCTTAGCTAGGGCAATGTTCGCGTGCCCATCGATATGGCTCCGCGTGCCACCTGTGGCACGCGTGCCATAGGTTCGCCATCATGGGGCTATGAGATAACCATTGGCTCA